TTAGAAACAAGTTTGCTTGACTGTCAATCCCAGCTCCCTTACCCTCCCTCCCCCCCAACCAAACCCCCCACCCCATCCCCCCCTCCACTCCCCGGGGCGGGGGGTGAGGCCCTCCATGGGGGATCTTCAAAGTCTGTCATATCATCCTGGGCAGGGCCTAGGCCCTCTCCCATGTGTACAGGCTGAGAGAGCATCCCTCCATATGGAATGGGCTCAAACTCCATTTGTACGCCAGGGCTAAATACTGATCTGCTATCCAAGGCCCCATAGATTGCTGAGGCCTCCTCACTGACACCCACATTCAGGGGGTCTGGATCAGTCCCATGCTGGCCTCTCAGCCATCAGTCTGGAGTCCATGAGCTGTCCCTTGTTCAGGTCTGCTCTTACTGTGGGTTTCACCAGCCTGGTCTTGACCCCTTTGCTCATTATTCCTCCCTCTCTGCAACTGGTTTCCAGGAGTTCAGTTCAGTGTTTAGCTGTGGGTATCAGCCACTGGATGAAGGCTCTAGGATGGCATATAAGGTAGTCATCAATCTCATTATTGGGGAAGGACTTTAAGTAGCATCTCCACTATTGCTTAGATTGTCAGTTGGTGTTATCCTTGTAGATCTCTGAAAATCTCCCTAGTGCCAGATCTCTTCTCAAACCTATAGTGGCTCCCTCTATTATGGTATCTCCCATCCTGCTCTCCTCTATTCTTCCCCTGACTCAACCTTCCTGCTCCCCCATGTCCTTCTTTCTTCTCCTCTTCTCCTCCTCTCTTTCTCCCAGCTTCCTCTCCTCTCCCCTCCCCCCATGTTCCCATCCCCTCAGGAGATCCCATCCCATTCCTCTTCTCTAAGGTACCATGCACATCTCTCTTAGGGTCCTCCCTGTTTCCCAGATTATCTGGCAGTGGCATTGTAGGCTGGCAATCCCCTGATCTATGTCTAACATCCATATATGAGTGAGTACATGCCATGTTTGCCTTTTTGTGACTGGGTTACCTCACTCAGGATGGTTTCTTCTAGTGCCATACCATTTGCCTGCAAATTTCAAGATTCCATTGTTTTTTTTTTTCCACTGAGTAGTACTCCATTGTGTAAATGTACCACATTTTCTCTGTCCATTCTTCAGTAGAGGGACATCTAGGTTGCTTCCAGGTTCTGGCTATTACAAATAATGCTGTTATGAACATAGTTGAACAGATGTCCTTATTGTATGAATGTGCATCTTTTGGGTATATGCCTAAGAGTGGAATTGCTGGATCTTGTGGTAGACTGATTTCCATTTTCCTGAGGAATCTCCATACTGATCTCCAAAGTGGCTATACGAGTTGGCACTCCTACCAACAGTAGAGGAGTGTTCCCCTTTCTCCACATCCTCTCCAGCATAAACTGTCATTGGTGTTTTCTATTTTAGCCATTCAGACAGGAGTAAGATGGTATCTCAGAGTTGTTTTGATTTGCATTTCCCTGATGACTAAGGATGTTGAACACTTTCTTAAGTGTCTATCAGCCATTTTAGACACCTCTATTGAAAATCCTCTATTTAGTTCTGTACCCCACTTTTTAATTGGATTATTTGGTGTTTTGGAGCCTAGCTTCCTTAGTTCTTTGTAAATTTTGGAGATCAACCCTCTGTCAGATGTGGGGTTGGTGAATATCTTTTCCCATTCTGTGGGCTGCTGTTTTGTCTTGTTGACTGTGTCCTTTGCCTTACAGAAGCTTCTCAGTTTCAAGAAGTCCCATTTATTAATTGTCGATCTCAGTGTCTGTGCTACTGGTGTTATGTTCAGGAAGCTGTCTCCTGTACCAATTCATACAAGGGTACTTCCCACTTTCTCATCTAAGAGGTTTAGTGTAGTTGGATTTATGTTGAGGTCTTTGATCCATTTGGACTTAAGTTTTGTGCATGGTGATAAATATGGATCTATCTGCATCTTCTGTTATGCCAGCACCATTTGTTGAAGATGCTTTCTTTTTTCAATTGTATAGTTTTAGTTTCTTTGTCAAATATCAGGTGTTCATAGGTGTGTGGGTTAATATCAGGGTCTTCAATTCGATTCCATAGGTCTACCTGTCTGTTTTCGGCTTTCTGAAGCTTATGTCCTAGAGGATCACAGGAGAGTTTGAAGAACATTGCTCCTTAAGTTTTAGAATGCTGAAGACAGTTTACCTGTCACTTTGCTGTTGAAGTATTAGTTTACTCTACATGTTATTGGAATTAAAATATCCAACAAAAAAGTTTAAGGAAGGGGTTTTATTTTGACTCAAGTCTATGGGCTAGCCCACCATAGCAGGGAATCCTGGGAGTGGGAGCTGCAGGTTGCTTGGTCACAGGCATCTGCAGTCAGGAAGCAGAGAGAGATGGATGCTGGTGCTAAGCTTCCCTTCTCCTTTTTTTATGGAGTTCAGGACCTGAGCCCACAGAACTGTGCTGCCCAAATGTAGAATGGCTTTTCCTACCCCAGTTAAGCTCATCTAGAGACTGTAGAATCCCTCACAAACATGTCCAGAGGCTTGTCTGTCAGTCATCCTGGAGCCTGTCAAGTAGATATCAAGATTAACCATGTCAGTGGGTAGTGAGTCATTAGCTCATACTTGTTTTCTTGGGTATGCAAGTAGGATACTCCCCGGTCTTGTTCGAGTGCCTGAAGACAGTCTAACTTTTCATCCATTTAAGTCATTTTGTTTTTGTTTTTGTTTTTTTGTGTGGGTACCCAGCTAATTTTACTTGAGTATATCTCAGATGTCATTTACTCTTAAGATTTCTGGTATTTTATTATGTCATTTAGATGTTTTTTGTTTATATGTCAGAAGTCATCTAATTGCTGTATGTTTTGTTTTGTTTTCAGGATATCTATTTTCCATGTGTTGACTTTTCTTCATCTTTAGTATCTGCTACTTTCCTCCAATTTTTTTTTCAAATCTTGAAATTTTCAATCTTTATATGTTTTATTTCTCTATGTGGGACTATCTGTTGCTTTAAGTAACTCTGTTTCTTTTAGCTTGGCCTTTTTTAAATGACAGGGTGGTATAGCCCAGGTTGGCCTTAAACTTGAGTCCCTCCTACTGCAGCTTCCCAAGCACTGGTGTTACAGGTGTGCCCTCATGCCCAACTTAGCTGACTTAGTGTTTTTTTTAGGTATGTTCTCACTGTTAGCTTGGGCTGGCCCAGAACTCATTGTGTAGACCAGGCTGGCCTTGAGCAAGTGCTGATTTTCCTGACTCTGACCCTGCTTTCTGAGTGCCAGCATTATAGGCCTGTGCTGCCCTCAGCCACTCCCATCATCTTGAATGAATTTTTATCCCTTATTTCATATTCTTCCTGTGTGTGTATGTGTGCATGCATGTGTGTGCGCGTGCATGTGCACAAAGCCTGTCTCCTCTCACCTTCCTGTGGGTTCTGGGATTTGAACTCAGGTGGTCAGGCTCACGTGGCAGTATTTCCGTCTTCTGAGCCATCCTCACTTTTTTGGTGTATTTTGTCACCTGTGATCTGGATAAGTGATTTCTTTTTGTTGTTGTTGTTTTCTTTGTTTTTTGAAATAGGGTTCCTCTGTAGCTTTGGAGGCTGTCCTGGAACTCACCCTGTAGACCAGACTGGCCTCAAAGTCAAAGATCCTCCTGCCTCTCCCTCCTGAGTGCTGGATTAAAGGTGTGTGCCACTACTGCCCAGCCTCGATAAGTGGTTTCTGAGTTGCAGTTTGACTGTTCCTACAGAGCAGTGCCCTTTCTTCACCTGCTGACTTGCTAAGTCTTTGTGGCACACACTGATTACTCTAGAGATCACAGTTACTTCTTTCTGTACCAATACTTCGTTCGAATCACTTGAGCTCTATCAAAAAACTAGTGTCACTTGAACTACAATCTAGGAATAGCTGTGCTCACCTTTAAAGGATGAATCAATTATAAAAATGTAATTTCTGCCCATATGGACACAATTTCATTCTGTCTGACATGTAAACATTACAGTATTCTTTGAGTGATGCAGTTTTCAAAAAATGTGTGCTGGTTCCAGAAGGTGTTAGACTCTCTGGAACTAGAGTGTTAGTGGCTGTGAACCACCTGATGTGGGTGTGGGGAGCTGAGTCCGGGTCCCTGCAAGAGCAGTGAGCACTCCTAGTTGCATGCTATCTCTCCAGCCTCTTTAAAATGTTTTTATTTTGTGTATGTGAAAGAATATTACTGCTCAACTCAAGTTGACAATTGTTCTTTCTACTTTAAAGATCGTATTAAAAAAATCGTATCTCAGTGTCCTTTGGTTCCTCTTGTTGCTGCTGAAAAATAAGCAAATCTAATTTCTGCTTCTTCTTTTTTTTTTTTTTTCCAGACAGGGTTTCTCTGTATATCTCTGGCTGTCCTGGAACTCACTCTGTAGACCAGGCTGGCCTCAAACTCAGAGATCTGCTTGCCTTTATTTTTTTAAATAGTCTCATTAACTACTTTGAAATATCTTTTGGAGGGTGTTCTGCAGTTTTACTGTGTGATTAGCATGCCATAACAATTAGATGATAGTGATTTCTAAATGACAGTTAATGTTCTATAGACAGTTTTGTACTAAAAGAATCACAACGTTTACTGTTTGTTTTGTGAGCTCTGGATGGCCTGGAGCTCACAGATATCTGCCTGCCTCTGTGCCCCAATTCTGGGATTAAAGGCGTGTGCCATCACGCCTTAACAGGATGTTTCTTATTTAAAGAAATATTATGGAGCATGAATTGGTTGATAGCTTGTGCCTGTAACCTCAGCACTGGGAAACTTGGCAGAATTGAGAGTTCAAACCAGCATGGGCCACATAATTCTAGGTCAGTTCAAAAGCATAGCAAGATCCTGTCTAAACAAAAGGAAAAACAGAATAATATACCCTCCTCCACCCAAGAAAGTTAAGGAGGGGGAGGCCATGTTAAATCTTTTTAGAAGACAGCATTGCAGTTTGTTTGCTTAATTTTCTTGTGTAGTCCTGTATCTGTATCCTGACGCAAGAAGGTACAGTTCCCTTTGTCTGTCTTTCCACAGCATTATTGGAAATAATTATGAAAAATGGAAGCACTGCTGGAAATAGCACACATTGCCGAAAACCCGCAGGGAGTGGTGACCAGAACAAGCCCACCTGCACAAAGGACAGCACCCCGGGTAGGGGCGAAGGTGGAAAAGTCTACACCAAGGACCAAGTAGACGGAGTTCTCAGGTAGGAGTCAATGTGATCTCGTCATCCCACGAGTGTTGATTCCATAGAACCTAACTGGTGTTATAATGCCTAAGGAAGGTGTTTGGAGCACAGTTTAGCAGGAGGGAAATGGAGTTGCTACCTCATGTCCCGTGTTTCATTTTCCTTGTGAGATCAGCCTGTTAGGAGATAACTCTCTGGAAGGTTCCGTTCTCCTAAATCAACAACAAGCCACAACTGTAAAATAATGATCTCAGCGTTGTTTCTATGTATGGTTTGGCCTGTAATAGTGAAAGAATGAACTGCTTTGTTGTAATATGCAGTTGAAAATGGGAGAGTTTCATAAGAGGAAAACTGGGAGTTATGGCAGACACCACAGTGCCCCTTCTGGTTGTCCCTCAAGTGACTCTCTCTGCCTCCGGAGCCTCTCCATTCACAGCAGAGTTGGGCGGAGCTGAGCAGCGAGAGCCTTGGTTTTAGAAATACAGCATTACTAATGTTATAAAGAAGAAAGGGCTAGGCCTGAGGCATGAAATACGTCAGAATAGATTGTTTTATTTCCTGTCGGAAGTTAAGGAAAGTGTGCGCTGTCGCTGCAGCTGCTCTTCTGGGCAGCGGGGTTTACAGCGGGAAGATGACCAACCCGAGTTCTCAGGGAGAGCGGGTCCTACGGCCTTGGGAAGTAACGTAAGAAAGCATGGCTAAGGCAGCAGCGTAGGTCTTGTTCCTCGTCCTTTAGATGCCTCCGTTCTCATCCTTTCCACTTTGTCTTTCTCAACATAATTTGTGTGATACATACTTTGAGACTCAGATTTTTATCTAATAAGGAAAATGACTGTGTCTCGAATCTAATATTGATGTATTCGTATCTTTTTTTTTTTTTTTTTTTTTTTTTTTTGGTTTTATGAGACAGGGTTTCTCTGTATTGTTTTGGAGGCTGTCGGTCCAGCCCGGCCTCGAACTCACAGAGATCTGCCTGCCTCTGCCTCCTGAATGCTGGGATTAAAGGTGTGCACCACCAACGCCCGGCGATGTATACGTATCTTATTTTTTCCCTTTATATGTGAATTCTAAAGCTTGACTGTATCATTGTGTCTGAATTCACAACAAGGAAAATGTCTTCCCCAGTCACTAAAGCCGTGAAAGAGGACTTTTGACAGGTGTGAATGGTAGCGAACACTCCAAAGGTGTGAGCCGCTGACCGCTTCCATGTGGCGCGCCTTAGCAAATGTAACTGAATACGTGAGAGAAAGCGTGCTTCCCGGCATCTTTGGAGGACAAGCTATAAGTGTGCTGAGAACTGCATCCTAAACAATCGTATTTTCCTGTAGGCCTCATATTACACTGGGAGAACACTCCATCAATCCTCTTCCTTTCTTTTCCGATTTATTTACTTTTGTTTTATATGTTCGAGTGCTTTACTTGTATGTGTATATGTACATTACATACATGCCTGGTGCCTGTGGAGGCCAGAAAAGAGTGGCTGATCCCCTGGAACTGGAGTTACAGAGGTTGTAGGTGTTAGTATTCAAGCATCTGTACTGAACTGGAGTTACAGAGGTTGTAGGTGTTAGCATTCAAGCATCTGTACTGAACTGGAGTTACAGAGGTTGTAGGTGTTAGCATTCAAGCATCTGTACTGGCCTGTTCAACAGTGGGTGCTTGGAACCAAACCTGGGTATTCTGTGGAGGAGCAGCAAGTACTCTTAACCACTAAGACATCTCTTCAGCTCCTCCATGAATTTTCTGATTACATTGTATTGTATGTGATTTTTGTGGCACACACTCCCAAATAGAATCAGTGGTTTGCTTGGGAATGTCACCAACAAACAAAACTATGGTTGTAATTTTTTTTTTCTTTTTTGGTTTTTCAAGACAGGGTTTCTCTGTATTGTTTTGGAGGCTGTCCTGGAACTCATTCTGTAGACCGGGCTGGCCTCAACTCACAGAGATCCACCTGCCTCTGCCTCCCGAGTGCTGGATTAAAGGCGTGCGCCACCACCACCCGGCTATTGATGAGGTTGAATCTTGAGGAGACTAATAAAGTGTGGGTTTCTTTGCACATGGAATGGAATGAATGCAGATTTAGCATTGACTGAAGGTTCAGCCATGCTTGCGATCATAGTTCTTTTTTATGGATAGACGAATTACTTTAGAAACATTACTTCCTGCATTACAGATTGAGTCTCTAAGCCAATAACTCTGCTGTATCTTTTAATTCTATATAATAGAAATTATATCTATCTATATAATATAAATTGTATATATAAAATCCCCTTCTGGGACCAATTATGAAACAGTCTTTTAAGTGAAATCCCTAAGTTATTTGAAATATTTCAGTCAGTCCCTTGTATGTAAGTTGCCTAGTTGCAAAGTGTATATATATTCATAGTAGACTTCATAAGTGTGGTCCTAGTCAGTCCCTTGTATGTAAGTTGCCTAGTTGCAAAGTGTGTATATATTCATAGTAGACATCATAAGTGTGGTCCTAGTCAGTCCCTTGTATGTAAGTTGCCTAGTTGCAAAGTGTATATATATTCATAGTAGACTTCATAAGTGTGGTCCTAGTCAGTCCCTTGTATGTAAGTTGCCTAGTTGCAAAGTGTATATATAATCATAGTAGACATCATAAGTGTGGTCCTAGTCAGTCCCTTGTATGTAAGTTGCCTAGTTGCAAAGTGTGTATATATTCATAGTAGACTTCATAAGTGTGGTCCTAGTGAGGCAGCAGATCAGAGAGCAGAACTTGAGCTTGTCATTTTGTGTTTTGCTTTATTTATACACAAGGGATTTTCCTCAGGAAAGTACACTGCCTTGATAGAGAGGATGATTATGCAAACAAGTTGCTCAGTAACAGTTTGGCTCAATGGGGAGAAGCCATGCAATGATACTGCGCCCATTGCATAAGTGCAAACTTACAGTAAGACTGAAGAAAGTTGTGTAACTAAGCAAGGGAGCAGTCTGTGCCCCTAGGCTCTGTGTCTTTGAGTTGAAATGGGTCTTAAGAATTGAGGAAAATGACTTTTATTTGAAGTTTTAATACATCATTGTAAAAAGATGGTTTTGTATCTAAACATGTAAGGGCAGCGTGGAATCTAGCAGGCAGTTGCAGTCAGTGTCTGTGGCTGCTTCTCTAAAGCTCTGTCTCGTTTGAATTGCAGAAACTGGAGTTTCAGATTTGATTTACTGTTCGTTCTCACCTGTCTTCCTCTGCCCATTTGTTTGTTTGTTTTTTAGACTAGCTCTTCCTACATAACCTAGACTGATCTTGAACTCATGTTCATTCTGCTTCAGCCTCTCGGTAGAGTGCTGGGATCACAGGAGGAAGACCACAGTCTTGTTATAATTCAGACTTTAAATTAGAGGAAGAAGATAAATTACAGTTGTTAGGCACATCAAAGGAATGATGCCTTGACCCAGAAGTGTTTCCCTAAGCACAAGTTAAATTTGGAGTCTATTTATTTATTTGAGACAAGGTTTCACATAGCTCAGGCTGGTCTAGAACTCTGTGCAGCTGAAGATAACCTTGATTTTCTGATTTGTCTCTACTTCCTGAATGCTGGGGTCATACGTTTTTGCCAGCACACCCAGTTTATGCTATGCTGGAGATTGAACCCAGGTTTTTATGCATGTTAGGCAATCACTCTACCAACTGAGCTATATCCCCAGCCACTGGAATCAATTTAAATGAACATCTATAACACATTTAAAAAGAGAGAGGGGGTTGAAAAAATGGCTTTCCTTTCCTGCCTCTGTACTTCCAACCCACCAAAAGGAGATACAAACAGAGGACCAGACAGTTCTTGTGGGCCTCATTATGCAATGTTCTCTTCACAAATAGGTGATGGGAACCCCCTGCCTTTTAAAATTGTTCAGAAAGGAAATTTGCTTTGGTTTGTGCCTCTGACCCAGGCTTTGGGAGTGGGTGGTGTGTATCTGTTGGTGGTCTTGCTGGCAGAGTTCTGAGACAGCACAGGGGGAGACTGCACATGTGTGTAAATGATCTATCCTTTGAAACTTCATTTTCAAAGTTTGTCTTATTTGTTAAGGATGCAGAAGGTTTGAATCTTTCAGAAAAGAACAAACTAAATACATGGCAAATGCTTGTTTCAACTGGCAACTTGACAGGACCTAGAATCACCCTGGAGACAGATGCATCTGAACACATTGTGAGGGATTTTCTATAGTAGGTTGATTGGGGTGGGCAGATCTTCTCTGGATGGGCAGCACCTTCCGTGGGCTGCACTGCATATGGAGGAGAAGGCCGAGCACAGTGAGCATTGCTCTCTGTGTGGTGACTGCACTTCAGTGTGCTCAGGCTCCACATCTTCCCTCCCTGCTGTAACGGACTTCCCCAGTGTGAGTCAGAATAAACCCCGTTCTTTCTAAGTTTCTGTAGTCAGTATTTGATCTGAGAAAAATAACATAGCTAATGAGAAGGGCTGTGATTTGAGAAAGGAGTCTTAGTGATTGTCCTTTTGCTGTGAAGAGACACCATGACCAAGGCAACTCTTCTTTTTGTTTGTTTTTTTGGTTTTTCCAGACAGGGTTTCTCTGTATTGCTTTGGAGCCTGTCCTGGCACTCACTCTGTAGACCAGACTGGCCTCGACCTCACAAAGAGCCACCGGCCTCTGCCTCCCAAGTTCTTCACCTGTAGTCCCCATGGACTGCACACAGTAGGTGCTCTGCAGCTCCGCCTTTTACCGCTACACCTTCCCAATACCAAAGTTCAAATTGTGTCAACCGTGGGCGCTTGTAAAAATAAACAAACAAACAAACAAATAAATAAATCCAGTACTTTTCCTACTCCAAGAGGAAAGAATCAGGGCACAGTCGAAATCAGATCAAAGCAAAACCCAAGTCCCTCCCACACTGTGAAGGCCCTCCTGCACTGTGAAGTCCCTCCCACACTGTGAAGTCCCTCCCACACCGGAAGCCCCTTGCACACTGTAAAGCCCCTCCCACACCGTGAAGCCCCTCCCACACCGTGAAGCCCCTCCCACACTGTGAAGCCTCCCACACTGAAGCCCCTCCCACACTGAAGCCCCTCCCACACTGTGAAGTTCAGTGTCAGGCTTCTGGGACTCAGTCTTGTGGGCTCCAATGAGCTTGCGACAACACATGCAGGGAGTCTCCTAGACTGAGGCCAGCTCCATGCCACAGCTGCTGCTGTCCTTGGTGACCATCCCCTAGCACTGGCATCTCCAAAAAACTGGAATTTCTGTAATCGTCCTTTCTGTTTCTTCTCCGTGGGCACAATGCATCATGGATGATTTCATTAGAAAGCGAGAGTACCAAACACTGTGATGTGAAACCCGCCTCAGCTCCTTTTGAATTGGTCTGTGTTTTTTTTTTTTTTTCCTCTTGGGCTCTGCCCCCCTTTCCCCTTCCTACCCCATTTTTTCCCAGTTTTGCCCCTGGTGACCAGCTCTCCCAGGTAGCTTACCTCTTGTCATGGAACATGGAACATGGAACATAGCTCAAGTTAGAAAATGTTGTACAAAGAAATGCACATCTGCTGGAGACGGAGCCCCACTCCCAACCTCACCCGTGCATGCGGTGTGCTCCTGGCCACAGGCTCCACTCCCGGCCCTTACACCTACCTTGGCTTTTCGGGTGTCAGGCAATTTGGTTGTAGGGTATTGCCACCCTAGAGTTCTCAGTGTTCTCTAATCCCTTCGGTGTTTCCTGGTATGCTTTCAGTACTCCAGACTTCAGTGTGCAAACCTTGGTGAAGACCTAAAGAATGAATGGACTGTTAAGTAGTCTCTAGGAATGCACTGATGGAAATGGGCTATAACTAGTGTTCTTTAATCTCCATTATGACTTTTGAATGTTTTATTAGCACAGGACCCCTGATATTTTAGAGTAACTCAGGTAAATCTCAGTGGTAGTGATGTGGAGTTAGCTTGTCTTGGCTTCTCACGGGAGAGCACCACAGCTCCTGGGTAGACCGTAGCCCTGCTTTTAGCCTTGGCTAGATCTGCACTGTGCACTAACAGTTCTTACAATGTTTACTCCTTACTTCTGACACACTTTTGAAGACTTTCTTCCTCGTAAGCTGCAGTGAGTGTACTGCCCTTTGTTTGTAATCACAGTGGGCTGTACTTCCCTGTAACTTTGACAAACCGTCATGTGGACAGTCTTGTGGGTGGAGAAATTGTCTGTGTACTTAAGAGAACGGAGCAAACAGCCTGGCTAGATCACCACATCCACAGAAATTCCTTGTACCATTCTAATAGTGACATTGTGCTCTTGCTTGAAATTTATGTCACACCTTTCTTGTTCGCAGCATAAACAAGTGTAAAAATTACTATGAAGTTCTTGGAGTTACAAAAGATGCTGGTGATGAAGATTTGAAAAAAGCTTATAGGAAGCTTGCTTTGAAGTTTCATCCAGACAAAAACCACGCCCCTGGAGCCACGGATGCTTTCAAAAGTAAAGTAACTTATAAAGCTTCTCTTTAGAACGCACTTTGTAGGGTTTCGGAACGTGCAAGTCTGCCTTTCTGCTGGTGCATTTAGAGGCCAGTGTGAGGACTGTCTGAAGCTCCTTCAGAACTGTAGTACTAGCTTCTATTACTGAGCCAAGCAAATGCAGTGTGGCTGCTGTCCGCAATTCTAAGTAACTTTTCTTAGAGCATGCGTACCTTCTACTTTAGTGAGGAGGTCGATTGATAGTTTGCATTCACTTCCTCCGGCATTGACATCTGACTTCAAGTCAACTGAAAGTGACAGTTTTAAGAAGTTTTTCCTGGATATAGTCTGGAGCCAGGATTTCCTAGACAGACGATTCTAGGAATGATGGTAGTGTTTTTATCTTTCTGTGACACCTGGTCAGGTTTTATGATGCTGGAGTTCAAACTCAGGGCCATGTACATAGTAGGCAAGCATTTGGCTGCTGAGCTGGGGCTTATGAACCTGGGTCTTGCTGTGCAACTCAGGCTGGCCTTGAACTTAATAGTCTTCCTGCTTTGCCTCTGAGTACTGAGGTCACAGGCACAGCCAGGCACAGCACAATTCTCCCTTCCTTGTGTGCATTTCTAGTAATATGATTCCTTTTGCTTCTTCAGGTTGATTTCCTATCTCTTGTCTGTATTTTTTTATTTCGCTCCCCAATATTCCTTTAAGTTTTGATGAGTTTAGTTAAGTATTACATAAAGTATGAATAATGGACAACTGATTTCCCAATGTCCTATCTCGTATGTTGTAATAAAAGAGACATGACTGTCTCTTCTCTCCATCGCTCTTCCTCCCCGTGTCTGCACATGCTTCCTTGAACTTTTGTCTTTCCAGGGAGGCTCCTCTCTCAAAGATAGGGCTGCTGGCAGCAGGACTCCTGTGCCTTGGGCTTATTATTAAATTAAAGAGCAATAGCAATAATTTCAAGCTTTGTTATAGTTTCATTGCAGAGATTAATGTGTTATCCACAGTGAAACGTGTAACCTCGTGACTGTTGAATCTTGTGAATTTGATATTCTTAGAGCCAGTGTTTGTTTTCAGTAGCATGCTGAGGTCTTATAGTGGAATGAAGGAGATACTTACATTTTAAATGTTTCAAAAAAGAAGACTTGTTTGGTCCCTCATAAAATTGTTCACCATCCAGGCATTATGGAGCATGCCTATAACCCCAGCTTTCAGGAGGCTGAGGTGGGAGGATCACAGTTTGAGGCCAGCCTGCTCTGCACAGCAAGTTCCCGGCCAACAGGGCTATGCACTGTAACATTGTTTTTGTTTTCCCGTAGTAGCTGGAGAGAGGTAGATAGGGGAGGGAAGATGTTGTTTACAGAACAGTCTTATTTGTTGAAGGGAGTTGCCAAGGAAAATACATCTGGGAATTAGTGATATAGTCCAATGAAAGCACTGCCAAAGTTGTGCTTATGGAAAAGTAAAGCGGCCTTTTCGTAACCTAACAGAGTTGTGTGGAAAGTATTGGAAGCCTGGGGCGAGCAGGACGGCTCAGCAGGTAAAGGCGCTTGCAGCCAAGCCCGGCGACCTGAGTTGGTCTGGACCCAGGTGATGGGAGGAGAGAATTGATTCCCACAGGCCATCCTGTTACCTGCACACATGTAGGTACACGCACGCACACATACACAAAAAATAAAAAGCTAAGAAAAGGAATTATGGGAAACTGTATTTGAACAGCTCAGCATTATGAGTTTAAGCAGTTTAATTTAAACTCTTTTCATTGTCTCATGAGCCCACCAGACAGATGGTTAGTGTCACCCCGATGATCACACAGGTGGCCCTGGTTAAACCCAGAAGCTCACACACAAGGAAGACAGTGCAGAATTTCTAGGGGAGGAGTACAGGAGAAGCTGGGAGTGTCGTCACTTAGAATGCATTCTGTAAGTGTATAAAAGTGTCAGGACAAACAATAAAACGATGAGTCTCTTGTTTCTAAATGCTTAGAATATATTAGTGATCCAAATGTTTGTGATCTCCTGGTGTTGTCAGTACTTCTCCCTGGACTGGAGAGATGGCGCTGTGGTTAAAAGTCCCTGATGTTCTTCCAGAGGACCCAGGTTGAATTACTGTCTATTAACTCCAGTTCTAGGGGATCTGACGCCCTCTTTTGGTCTCCACAGGCACTGCACTCATGTGGTACAAGCATTCAGGCAAAATACTCATACACGTCAGAGTAAACAGTAGTTAGAATGTTAGACTTGGCACCACATGTGTTTGTGCATACCTGTAATCCCAGCACGTGGGAGGTAGAAGCAGGTGAAGCAGGTACAGGAACTCAAGGTCTCCCTGGCTACATAGTGAGTTCAAGGTCAGTGAGAGCTACAGGAGAAACTATGTCAAAAAATAATAAACAAACTGGGCGGTGATGACGCACGCCTTTAATCCCAGCACTGGGGCTGGGGTGGGGGTGGTGGCGCAGAGGCAGGCGGATCTCTGTGAGTTCCAGGACAACCAGGACTACACAAAGAAACCCTGTCTCGAAAAACCAAACATAAAGAAAGAATAATAAGCAAACAACCTGGAGAAATGGCTTAGCGGTTAAGAGCACTGGCTGCTCTTCCAGAGTCCTAGGTTCAAGTCCTAGAACCCATATGATGGCTGTAACATCAGTCCTATGGTACCTGATGCCCTCTTCTGGCTTCTGTAGGCACCAGTAGCGCACAAGGGACATGGATGCATGCAGGCAAACACACACATAAAATAAAAGTAACTCGAAAACCAACAGAAAAGAATGTTAGGCACACCTTTAATCCCAGCACTTGGGAGGCAGAGGCAGGCAGATCTCTGTGAGATCGAGGCCAGCCTGGTCTACAGAGAGAGTTCCAGGACAGCAATACAGAGAAACTCTATCTAGAAAAACAAAAAAAACAAAACAAAACAAAAAAGAAAGAAAGAAAGAATGTTAGGCTGTCTCTAACTGCATGGTAGAATGTTGGCCTACTGTGCACAAGGTCTATATTACCACACACACAAAAAAAAGCCCAAGGTCATGCGAATATTATTGGTCTTATAAAAACACTAAGAATATAGGTGCTTGTATTGCAATAGTTGCTGTTGCCCCTTTGAAGCAGCAAACAGCACAAATGTCCCAGACAAAGTCAGCCATGCACTCAGTGGGGTCTCACAAAGATGGCTGTAAAGGTTGAGTGTTGCATAGTCGTGGTTTAATGCTCTGCTTTATAAAGGAAAAATAATACTGATCAGCATGCTGGGAGATGATGATCTCTAGGGCGAGGCTCACACAGCCATTTTACTGGTCCCCAAGGGATCAGAATTGGGAGTTCAGGAATGAGTTTTCATCCAGGAGAAACTGGACAGAAACTCCAAACTGTAACCCACAGATTTTCAGTGAGTAAATGTAGTTAGCTGTCTTGTAGTAAGTTTTGTCACAGACATGGCAGGCTTCCTGAATGTCTGATTGTACTGTTAACCAGTCTTTGTTTGAAGATATCAACCCATTTCTCCCTGAACAGAGGCAATGTTTTGTATTTTCTACTTAAAAAAAAACGTTTTATTTATTTGTGTGTGTTTGCACACACACGTGCCTGCACACATGTTCAGGTGTGAGCACACTAGTGTGTGGATGTCAGAGGACAATTTGCACCACGCTTGTCTGGGAATTGTGGCGTGTGCCCTTACCTGCTGAGCCATTGCATTAGCCTCTAACTTGTCTTTTATATGGAAACTGAAACATTGTTTTATAGAAAGTGGAAATCATTTGCACTTTATTTTGTTCATGAATAGAAAAATAAAAATAATTAGATTAGGAAGTTAGGTCAAACGCTAAATTTGTGTTTTTGTAAGACAAATGCTCCTAACAGCAGTAGACTAGATGAAGCTATTTTGTCTTTCCATGAAATTTGCTCAGTTTACCAAAGCAGAGAAATATTTGATATGCAGAATGACTTTCACAGCATACCTTACCATGTGTTGCACATTACTCCAGTGGCATGGATTTCCTCTGTTCTCTCTGGCATACACACCACTAAAGCATGCCTGGACTTCAGTGGGGTGTAGCTCAGTGATGCTTGCCTCCCATTCACAAGGCCTTTAGTTTATTATCTACCATCCCACAAAACAAGCAAAACACAACACAGCAAAACAAAGAAAAACCCAAGAGTACTAGTACAGATTGTCATCCAAGACCGAGGTATGTCAGACAGTTACAATGTCAGTATATACAATGTCATAGCAGGGGGGCATTAGCTGTTTGTTTCATAAATAACTGTAGATCACATGCTATGGCTAGTGCTAGGTTTGGTAGTTTAATATTAACATTGTAGACTCAAGAGCAAGTCTCTCAGAACAAAGAAGTTAATTCCTACCTTTGGGGCTTTTTCTTAACTTAAATGAGGGATTTGAGATCCCCTCATCCTCACAGAATTTGTAACTCATAAAAGGAGATGTGTTTCACACACAGCAGTCACAGCATAGTAAAGCCTGAGATCTGACAAGCATATTGTGGTTTTTCATTTCCCGTTTTTCCTTTTTGTTTTCATTTAATGTTCATTAAAATTCCCATGAGACCATACTTCATGGCACACATCTGTATTGTCAGCACTTGGGTGAAAGAGGCAGGAGGATCAGGAGTTTGAGGTCAGATACATACAGGCCAGCCTGGATTACATGGGGCCGGTCTTAACCATATCTTCCCTCACACAGTGAAGTAGTCGTGGGGCTAGTGTCACCCTTGTTTCATAAATGACAAAATGACTTATTCCATGTCTCCCAGGAGACTCACTGTAATTAAATACCCAGACAGAAAAGGATGGCTGAGGAAAAGTAAAAAAGACAGGTAATGCTGGGCCTGTGTGTGAAAACTGTGATCACAGGCACTTGAGGACTAAGACAGGAGGGTCACAAGTTCAAGGCTTGCAGGAATGGCAGAATGCAGAATACATTCAAGACAGCTTCGGTAACTTATTGAGAGTCCCCCACCCCTTTATTTTTTAAAGAGCTGGGTATTCGTCTAGCTAAGTGTTCAGCACCTAGCTAGCATTCATGAGTAATTCAGTCCTGTGCCATAAAAGAGAAAAGATGAAAAATGAAACATTAGTATGAGTCATTGGACAATCATTCATATCTTAAGTGAGAACTGTTTTTTTTTGAGATGTTTGATTTTTATGGGTAGAGAAGAGAGGGAGGGTAAAGGCTTAGATGTGAGAATGAGGCAGAGTAGTTTAAACACCAGTGGCCTTTTGGATAGAATCTATAGCTTTGTTCTTATTCCTCATACCAGGCAGATGAAAAACTTGAACATCACGCAATGAACAGGTCAAGTGGACACAGGAAAACCAACAGGCGGTGAGATCTATGAACACAGTTCTCAGGACTAGGGAGCAGTGTGGCAGGGGACACTTGAGTGTCTGGTAGATCTGTCCTTACATATTCCAAATTTCAGTGATAGAGGCTTGGCAACCCCAAAATATCAAGAAATATAGAAGAAAAAAAGTAGTTCCATAGTGCTCAAATACTACAGAAGAAATTGACTTCATAGTGACCCATACTAGACTCCCCGCCCTGACGGGACAGTGGCGGAGGAAGCATTGGGAACTTCACCTTTCTCCCTCCCTCCCTCCCTCCCTCCCTCCCTCCCTCCCTCCCTCCCTCCCTCCCTTCCTTCCTTCCTTTCTTCCTTTCTTCCTTTTTTAAAACTATTTGTTTATTATGTGTGCTTGCCTTCATGTATGTGTGTGTACCACGTATGTGCCTGATGTCCTCATCAGATCCCCTGGAGCTGGACTTTCAGATGGTTGTGAGCCACCATGTGGGTGCTGGGAACTGAACCCAGGTCCTCAGTAAGAACCAGTGTTCGTCATGGCTGAACCATCTCTCCAGCTGCAGGAAAAGCTTCAGTTTTCATTCACGTCCATAGTCCCTTTTACCTTTCCTGCCCTTCCGGAGTGTCAGTGGCATTATGTGGGGGTCAAACCCCTGCTTCCCTAGAGATGAACAGCATTCTCCTCCCTACTGGGGTGGCATATTAGTTACTTTCACACCAGCTTGACCAAATACGTGATGCACATAACTTAAGGGAGGTGAGATTTATTTGGGTATATGGATGGTTTAAGAAGTGTCTTGTCTATCATGAAGAGAAAGCATATGGCATGCCATACCATGCCAAGGCTATTCACAGACTGGTAGATAGAAAGCAAAGAAAAGAGATACAGGAAGGAAGCCAGAAAAAGATACCGCTCCAACAGCATGACTCACATGGCATACTTCCTCCATTGGGCTCCCCCTCCTACCCTCAGTACCTACTACCCAATGCATTGCCTGGGCAGTTTATGGTCTATTCATGATGGTAGTTTAGATTTACCATCACCAGGGGAATTACAGATGACATCTGGAAGTATCAAAGCTTTAGTGACATAGTGTCAGTAAAACCACACAGAGAACAACACTGAGGCACCCATTCTCTTTCTAGCCAGGAGACCGCTATAGTCCTTCCTATATGAGTCTGGAAACCCCATGTCTTGTCAGCATTGGTGAGGAGCTCCCCACTCCCTCACCTGGTGTCAGCAGAGCTCCGTGGTAAAGATGTTACTGTAGCTATGATGCAGATGTTCTGAAGAATGAACCTAAGTGAGCTAATGGCAAAGAAGATCGGAAAGGGAATACAGAATCTGAACAAAGTGGAAATTCATTACCAGAAGTAAAGGTCTGGAATACCTGCTAAGGAATGAATGGAAGAAAAGGCAGAATGAGTAAAGACCAGAGGAACTAGACAACAGAAAAGTGGGCACTTTAAACAAGGCTGTAATAGAGGTCTGAAGACACGGCCTCAGAGACCATGGCTGTAACAGAGATCTAATGCTCACGTCTGGAGCGGCGGTTCTGAGGGTGGGGAGGAAGATGGGGCTGACAGTGCTGGTAATGAAAGTTTGGAGACTTCCCAAACTTGACCCAAAAAGGCAAGTTTTTAAATATCAGAAATTGAATGAGCCCCAAGCAGTTAAAGCAAAGGAAATCTACAGCAGAGACATCACAATCAACCTTCTGGAGATTAAAGACATACCAGAGTTGTCCTCTGACTTGCACATGTATGTGCATCACACACACACACACACATACACACACACACACACACATGAAATATGTTTAAACATTTAAGACATGAAAGTAGAACTGGGGCCAGCTGGGAAGAAAAGTGGGAGTGGGAGGACAAGAGCAGGCGGGAGGCTAATGGGGATGAACGAGATGGAATACATTATGTATGCACATATGGAAATGTCACAGGGACACCCATTATTGTGTATAATTAATTAGTTAATTAATGCATGCTAATAAAAGCTTTTATAATTATCATTAAAAACGCACAGAAGGGGCTGGGAGGTGACTCAGTAAAGTGCCCTGAGTTAGCTTACTAGAACCCACGTTAAGAAAAGCATGATGGCAGCACACACTCAGAATCCCTGCTGAGTCCCCTGGGGCTCACCGGAGCTCCAGTCAGTGAGAAGATCTCAGATTCTCAGATGGACTGTAGCTGAGAAACAACACCCAAAGGTTATCTGATGGCTTTGCACACATGCAAACACAGAAGCTTGTACGTATACATATCACATCCATACACGAACATGCACACATGTGCCACACAACACAAAACACACACACAAAAGAAGTGACATTTTATTGGAGATAATTTGCACATGGCAAAGGAGCCCATGGAAAGACTTCAACATCGTTACCCACTAGAGAAATGCAGAGTAAAGCCAAGATATCAGATAGTGCACAGCACCTATCATAATGGCTAGCATAGAAAAGCTCTGAGTGCATGGAATAGTTTATTCATGTAATGTTGAAGAGAAGTGAAATGAGAATCATTTTACAGAACAGCTTTGGAAGTTGATCAAGAAACTAATTCTGAGCTACCACACAATTGAGCAATGCACTCCTGGCATTTATCCCAGAGAAATGAACGTTTACATATACATAAACCTATGGTGAAGGCACATAGCAGCTTTATTGTAATAGCCCTAAACTAGAAAGAGCGCAGCTGCACTGAGGGGATGAGCAGTTAAACCAACAGTATTGTAGCCATACCATGGAGTAGTATGTAGTAATAAAAATGAACACACTTCTGACTTGTAACTAGCTGGATCTGTCTGCATACTATGCTCATTGAAAGGAGTCAGTTCCAAAGAGTTTCACTTATATGAAGTAACCCTGCTTTTATATTGTGTTAAAACACACACACACACACACACACATTAGTATGTGTGTGACAATCTCAGTATGTAACCCAGGCTGACTTTGAACTCAGAGTCGTTCTGTCTCAGTTTCTCATGTGCTTACATTATGTACATGCATCCCCACCTGGGTCTTCAGCATCCTAGAAATGATACAATTAGAGAAATGGCCAATAGTTTAGTAGTTATCAGGGGTTAAAGAGAAGCAGGATGGAGCAGGATTGAAATAAAAGAGTGTCAGTGAGATGATTGGTTCAGTTAGTATAAAGGTGCTTGCCATGCAAACCCAGTGACCTGAGTTCCATTCCCAGAATCCACAGAAAGGTGGTCAGAAAGAACCAACTTGATCAGGTTGTAGCCATGGTCTATGTGTCCCCAACACACATCATGCACATTCACAAAGTGAAGAATTAGAAAATCAAAAGATGGCTGTAGAATGTTCTGCTGACTTAATGTCAGTACTCCCTTTATGATATTTTGTTACAATTGATAAGATATTATCACTAGGAGAAATTAGGAAAAATGTGTAGAAAATCTCTATTTTATATCTTAAAAGTGTACATGAATCTGTAATTACCACAAAGTAAAACATTTGAAGAAAAAAATGGAAGTTTTTTTATGTGCAAAAAATGACAGTGAGGTAGAAATGAGCTAGTAAAGTTTTGGACACCAAAATAAAAATTGTATTTAATTCTCTAAATAATAAGGAACTGCGAGCATTTGTGATTTTTGCACAGACACTAAATGGGTTGATAGTTCAGAGCTAGTCTTGGCTATATAGTGAGACCCAAATACAAACCAAAACACAATAGCAGCAACACGTGAGACTTCATGCTGGACCCCTGAGCGTTGCAAGTAGAGGTATAGACAGTCCCTACTCTCACATGGGGCTTTTTATCTTAAGGAAAACAAGTTGTTCAGAAATAAATGGGTGGTAGTATGCAAAATGAAAAAGTAGATTCCAGCAGAGATGCCTTGGAGTAGTAGATATGTATATTGTGCTGAGTGTTTGACCCCAAACAACTTACTGAGATAGGGAAAATATTAATCAGTGAAGTGCAGAAATTATAGGTTCTTAATACATGATGAATCCCACTGAGATTGTTTTGAACAGTCTTGTTTGTAAGGGTGGCCTTGAACTTCTAATCCTTCTGCTTCTGCTTCCCATGTGCTGGGATTAAAGGTATGTGACCTCCATTCGTGGTGTGTAGGTTGAACAATCTTGAATGGCATAATTTGAGAACTCATAGTGTGGGGGACAGGATATTAAAGGCTATGCTACAATGATGGAGGGGGAGAGATGCAATCCCTTTATTTCCAAGGCAGTGGAAGATTTGGCTAGTACAGACAGCTAGTTGTGTAAAGACATAGCTTGTGATATTGCAAAATAGACACGTAATACGTAAATCATTGCCGTTTTGTGATTTTTCTCAACTGGTTTCAAGTATTATTTGAGTTGATGCTGCTGTATGAGCATCATCAATCCTCTGTGGACTAAAGACATTGCTTTCCAATGCTGCTGCTCGTTGCTTTTTTTAGAGATCGGAAATGCTTACGCAGTTTTAAGCAATCCAGAGAAACGAAAACAGTATGACCTCACAGGCAGTGAAGAACAAGCTTGTAATCACCAAAACAACGGCAGGTTCAACTTCCACCGAGGCTGTGAAGCCGACATAACTCCAGAGGACCTGTTCAATATCTTTTTTGGTGGCGGATTCCCTTCAGGTACTCCAAGCTCATTTTACTTCCTCAGCTAGACTTCATAAAAATCTCCAGCATTCTCATCTGGAATTTGTTCTGTTTTGAGACAGTTTCACTCTAGTCTGGAACTTTCTGTGTAACCCGGGCTAAGCTCTACCTTACAGCAACCCCCTGCCTTGGTTTCCCAAGTGTTGGGGTTACAGACTTGAACATGACAATCTCCCTGTTTTCTACAGTTCTGGCTTTCTATCAAAGGAGGGGAAACATGAAGGGTTACCGCTGTTACTAAGCCTCTCTTTTACGTAGAGAATACTTTCATTAAGTACAGGTGACTTGTCTTATAAAAAAAATGAAGGGAAGGAATATAGGCTGGAGACTCAGAGGTGGTGTATCTCAGTGGTTACAGTTAGGGGAAGCATCTGGTACCTGCCTTGGGTGATTGACATTAGTGCCTGGACTGTTAATGCCAATGTATGTAAATGTCTCCATCTGTGTTTCCATTGAAGTAGCAGTTTGATTGATACATGAACTCTTTGGGTGCCTTTTTATTTTGTTACAGTAGGAACTAGGAATTTTGACTGAACATATGTTGGAAACAGTCAGAAATCTTTGAGGCAATAATTTTTTCTTAATATCTAATTTGCAGTTCTCTGTTAGTTATAAAATGGTTTGCTTTGTCAATAATAGCCATTTCTGGTTCTTTGTCCCATTTGAAAACTTGAGTGCCCATCTGTGACCCGCTTATACTTTAATATACTAGCATTTTAAAAACATTAATTATAAGGCTCTCTTTGGATTTCTAGACGTGTTTGATTCATTTAAGTGCAGAAATCAGAATTTTCAGAACAAAGACTTAAGGTTTGTAGGAGCAATCACCAACAGTGATAGCCCTTCATGTGGTAGCATTGTTAAGAAGCTTTTATTCCCATTTTCACAAAGAAATTTAGAAAGCTGGGAATGGTAGCTCATATCTGATTTGGAAGAAGGAAGCAAGATCAGGCAGTAAACATTCATTGCTCAAAACAAACATCCGCTAATTTAGTTCAGGAAGGGTAGGCGTGGTGGCATATGCTTTTAGTCTCATCAATGCAATTTAACCTGGTTTTTAATTTTCTAGGTAGTGTACACTCATTTTCAAATGGCCGGGCTGCTTACAACCACCAACATCAGCACCGACACAGTGGACATGAAAGAGAAGAAGAAAGAGCAGATGTATGTTTCTAATGTGACTATAAATCTCAGAATGACAAAGTCTAGCTCAGAAAGCAATTAGAATTGTCTAAAACTAGGGCAAGTTGTTTTAGGAAATAATGAGTTTTCTCTTAGCAAGTGTTCAAAAGAGACTCAAATCCTGTGAGACTAATGGTGGCCCAGGAGTAGAGGTCAGGGAGGGTGGTGCAGTGTGGTTCTTCTGATTTGGTATTGCACAGTTCTGACAATGGTGTATCTGGTTTTGCATGTTCTGAAATGCTTCTTTTTATAGATCCTGAAAGATTTAGAAATGATGCTGAAAAACCTCAGTTCTAATGCAGGTACACCTGATTGCCTGTATTAAGTGAGCAACTTGCGTAGAAAGGAAAGGAATGGAAAAGACACTGGACTAGACAGGAAAATGCCCGAGCTCAGCTGCCTCCAACATATATGTATCCCCGTATAAACCCAGGTGTCTCAGGGTGTATGACAGGAGGGGGCTTCCTTATCTCTAAAATGAGGTCAGATTAGTTTTCAAGCCCTGGGCAGTTTGTATTTTATGGATTATAACAGGAAGTCGGGTTTACTTAGCAGGTTTGGAAGCACTGCCCTGGATGCCGCAAATGTCCTTTGTACCCATAAGAATGCATGGCAACACTGGATTGCTGACAGTCACACTATGCTCTCTTCTCTGATCTTTTTCATAGGGAGGGTTTTCTGTGTTTATCCAGCTGATGCCCATTATCGTATTGATCCTCGTGTCACTGTTGAGTCAGCTGATGGTCTCTAATCCTCCTTACTCCTTATACCCCAGATCGTAAGTGAAATCTTACAAAATTCAATGGTTGCTGTGTCTTTTCTTCCCTTGAAGGATCCTTTGATGCCTTTGAGTGCCAACTCTTTCACAGGAAAATCTCCAATTTTAAAAATAATTAAAATGAGTGATATGTTTGTATGATTCTTGGTGTTGGACATTTCTGTCCCACTGTGGGTAAGGACAAAAGTGCTATGTTTGAATTTGAATTTAATGTAATGTTAATATATTGACATGCAGGACAAAAAGGAAAAGAAGAGTTGGTCTTAGGCTCATTTCATTAGGTGGGAAATGACTTAGTTAAGTGATGGGAAGATAAAATAAGCTTAACCAAAACAGTGTACTCTGAAAAGTTTTTAAAAATATAACAAATACTGATGTTAACTTTAAACTGCTTTTATTTTTGCTACTTGATTAGCATATTAGGATACGGTCTTAATTAAAAGAAGAATAATCATGTATCTCTTTTGCAGTGGATCAGGACAAACTATTAAAATGCAGACGGAAAACTTGGGCGTTGTTTATTACGTCAGTAAGGACTTTAAAAGCGAATATAAAGGAGCACTATTACAAAAGGTAGAAAAGAGCGTGGAAGAGGATTATGTGACTAATATTCGAAATAACTGTTGGAAGGAAAGACAGCAGAGTAAGTCTATCAAGTATTGTTACCATTTTAGAAAACCTATAGAGTCTTTAGAAATATTGTTGTAGATTTCACTACTTAAGGAGGGAAATTACCTGGTTTATAATTGGAATTGAGAATATAAATAAGTACAGTCAGTCCTCTATGTTTGAGGCATCCCTCATCCATGGATTCAGTTAGCTGTCAATCAAAACTCTGCAGAAAAAGAGCAATTGTATCTGTCCTGAACATGTGCTAATGTTTTTTGTTGTCATTGTTCTCTAAGCCATCCATTGTAACAACTATTTGCATGACATCCCCACCATATTAGGCAACATTAGTAAGATGGAGGGTATGTGTAGGCTATGCAAACACATATGTTTTGTGTAAGAGACTTAAGCATCCGTGTATTTTAGTGTCTGGAGACCCTAGAAGTATTATAACATGTCTATTAGGGGTTGATTGTAATGATTTTCATACATGTGACATAACATAATAATTGGCACAGCGTAAGAACTTACTAAATGGTTCTTGTCTTACTGTGTTTAATAAATATTTTTGTTGAGTAGATAGACTTATACAATGCTTCTTCCAGTCACATATTACCTAGAAGATCAAGTTACTTCTTGCTAAGCTAGTTACTTTATCATTGTTACGTATTATTCAGTAAGCATTTAACATAGTGGCTTATACCAGTCAGTGTTAAGTGTTATGTAGTATTTAGTTATGATTTATTTTTGCCACTATATGTCTTAGTTAGGGTTTCTATTGCTGTGAAAGAGACTCAATATAAACTCTTATAAAGGAAAACATTTAACTGGGGATGGATTGCAGTTTCAGAGACTTAGTCTGTTGTCATCCTGGTGGGTAGCATGGTGTCACACAGGCAGACATGGTGCTGGAGAGGTAGCTGAGAGTTCTACATCCAAATTGACAGATAGTAGGAAAAGAGAGAGACACTGGGCCTCACTTGAGCACTTGAAACCTCAAAGCCCACCTCCAGTGACACACTTCTTCCAACAAGGCCACATCCCCTCCAACAAGGCCACACCTCCTAATTGTGCCACTCTATGAGCCTGTGGGGGCCTGTTTCATTCAAACCATACTGGGTTTTATTGTGACATTTAATACTTGTATTTAAAATATTTTGATCTTATTTACCTCCCATTACCCACCTTGTTCCCCTCATACTCCTGCTGACCCCTCCCTCTTCCCAGCTAATCCTATCTCTCTCTCTGTCTGTCTCTTTCTGTCTGTCTGTCTGTCTGTCTCTCTGTCTCTGTCTCTGTCTCTGTCTCTCTCTCTCTGTGTGTGTGTGTGTGTGTGTGTGTGTGTGTGTGTGTGTGTGTGTAAATTAGTATGCTTTCAGAAGCATGGGTTTTTACAGGAACATGGGCCTCTTAGCAGTGGTTCTGAGACACCACTGAAGAAAATCTCTCTCTCTTTTTCCCTCAGCAACGATTAACTGCAAATAGCCCCTCAGGGAGGTGCTGGGCCTCATGATGCTCTTCCCCTACCAACAATTATCTGGTTATAGATCCTCAGAGAGGGGTGGAGCCTCCCGCCCCCTCCATGTAAGAATACTAGTGAAACTTTGCAGATCACAGCTACTGTGAGTTCATGAGAGTGCCATCGGTCATGCCTGATTGACATCAGCCCACATCCCTCCAGTCTCCATCTCTTCCTTCCTTCCATTCTCCTGAGCTTCAGAGGGGTGACAGGAATGCCCCATGGTGGGCAGAGTCTTCAGCAGTCAGCCTGGCTCAATAGTTTGATCATTTATGAGTCTGCAGTAACACTGCCCATTGCAAATAGGAGCTTTCTTTGCAAAGCTGATGACATGTTAATCACTGGGTGTCAACAAGTGCTTAAAGACAAGTTTGTTGTATCCATTTTGCAAAACAACAGCAGAGCTTCTCCAGTTGGGCCTATGATGTCACAGCCACAGACTTTTGACCAGGTTTACAGCACCAGATGTGGAGTGGATCTCAAGTCCAATCAGAGAGTGTTCAGTTTACCCTATAACAACCATGGCACTGTTGTATGACGGGCACACACTGCCTAGCAGATCAGCAAACCATCACAGCTGAGTAAGACTGTTGATAATAATTCTTCATTGGCCTCGATAGCCCCTTTTGTCACTCTCTGGGAAGGAGGAGGCTTCCAGCTCAATTGCCGTTTGATTCTCCTGTGGTCAAACCATGTAATATGTCCATCTGTAATGTCTTATCATCAGTTCTGGCAGGCAGAATTATGGTTCTTCTTCCAAGATGTATGTGGGCGGTGTTTGCATCTATGTGGGAGAATGCTGTATTTTCCAGTGTTTCCCCATGTGTGAAAGCGCACACAGTCCTAGCACTTAGGGCGCTGATGCAGAAGGATCGTAAGTTAGAGGCCAGCATGGGCTATACAATGAAACCTATTCTCATGAAGAAGAAGAAAGTGGAGGAAGATGGGAAGGAGGAGTTTATGTTAATTTGTATTCTTTTTGTGGACGTGGTTTTTGAGACAGGGTTTCTCTATATAGCTCTGGCTGTCCTGAAACTTGCTGTGTAGACCAGGCTGGCCTTGAACTCAGAGATCCACCTTCATCTGCTTCCTGAACTCTAGGATTAAAGGCACTTAATTTGTGTTCATAGCTGTTGGAATGATCACAAACCACAGCAAACAGAGCCCTGGCAGTCCTGGTTTTCAGGTGATATCTTAGAAAAGGCTGAGAGGGCATTCTAATGCCTTAACCACTGGCCTCAGAGGTGAAGAGAAGGACTCTGGAAGAAGATGGCAGGACTCTAGCCTTGTTTCCTGTTAGTGTTGGTTCTGTGTGCTAAACTCAAAGTAAAGTTATATAAAGGAAACACTTGACAGGTGTGGTGGTTCAGGCCTTTAATCATAGCATTCAGAGGCAAAGGCAGAAGAATCTCTTGAGTTCAAGGCCAGCCTGGTCTACATAGTGAGCTTCAGGACTTCCAGGTCTGCGTAGAGATCCTGTCCCAAAAAAATTGTTTTAAAGCAGAGAAAGAATCCCAGTGAGATGGTTTATAGGAATTGTACTTGATTCTTTCTTCAAAGGCAGTTCAGAGAAATATGTATGTACATACATGAACTTCTCTAAAGTGTTATTTAAATGTCAGCAACTAAAGTGATGCAAATGGTTAGTAACTAGCCAACATTTTGTCTCCAGAAACAGATATGCAGTATGCAGCAAAAGTGTACCGTGATGAGCGGCTGCGGAGGAAGGCGGATGCGCTCAGCATGGACAACTGCAAAGAGCTAGAGCGACTGACCAGTCTCTACAAGGGGGGATAAGCCGGAAGTCCCGCCTACTCCTCCCGATGGACTCTGTCTTTTCTGTAATTTCATTTCGCCGTGAAGTCGAAGATTTGATTAAAGACTAAACTGAGTAGTTGACTCCCGAAATCTTGGACTGTTAATGACCTACTGGCTCATTTCAATAGTAAGAACTGAAAACTAAATATTTTAGTATGCTTCCGCAATTACTTTCACTTTAAAACCTTACATGATCCCTTATGATGTCTGGAGAGGATTATCACACCTGTAGCAATTGCCAGTTTTAGTGATTCTCCATTATTCCTTTGCCATGTAAATATTTTAGAATGATTTTGTGTATATATGAGCGCTTGCCTTTTATTTAAATTATTTTAGCGTTTAGCTCCATGAGACACTTGGTTTAGGCTGATGGAATGAATGTCTATGACAGTCACATTTTCCAGTAGGTGTTTGGGTGTGTGGAGTTTAAACAACAAAAGTTTCTCAAAAAGAAAAAGCAAAACTTTATATAAAATCTTTTATCAGCGTAGAAGGAATTGACATTTTAATATTGTTCTTATATTCCAGAATATGTAATGAGATAAATGAGCTGGTGTATACTATCAGTATGCTCTTTAGTTTTATGAATTGCTAAGCCATACATAGGAACAAAATGCTATAAGATAGATTTTAAAGAAAATATGATAAGTATTATGCTAAATGCATTTTCAATGGTAAATTGCAATTATGCCATTCACAATTGTGGTAATTAAAAGTTAGCCCCAAATATTCATTTATGTGTCTTTCAAGGCTACTGAAGCTTACGAAGCAAAAGATGAACTCTCTTCCCATGGAAATTCAGTTTCATGGAGATAACTGAAGCAGGACCCCAAAGCAAATGGATTCTTCTACAATAAGTAATAAGAACAAAATGACCACCAACACACAGCTTTGTGCCTTCCAACTGCAGCTGGCTTCCTTGACATCACATGACCTGTTGGGTCACACACAGCCCTGAGCAGGGATAGAGCAGAGCTAGTGCAGTGACTGACGGCATGTCATCCTCAGAGCAGAGCTACAGCAGTGACTGACGGCAGGTCATCCTCAGAGCAGAGCTACAGCAGTGACTGACAGCAAGGTGTCCTCAGAGCAGAGCTACAGCAGTGACTGACGGCAGGTCATCCTCAGAGCAGAGCTACAGCAGTGACTGACAGCAAGGTGTCCTCAGAGCAGCAGCTACAGCAGTGACTGACAGCAAGGTGTTCTCAGAGCATTCTGAGCTAAGCTCCACTTAGCACCAGGCAACTCATCAGATCACTAGAATAAGCTCCTTGTAACCAAATCTGTAATATATGGTGGGAAAACACAGCTGGGACTTGAAGTTTTGGTGCTTATTGGGTTTGAAATGATTTCTGGTCTTCTGTGTGTAACGATAGTGATGGCTTAATGGTTTTGCTTCTTACAGTTAAAGAAGTACAAACACATTTTTGGTGGCTTGTTGTCATTGCCCCTGCCCCAATCCCTTACTCGAGAACTAGAACGTTAGGTAGAGTGGCTGTGCTTTTGCTTAAGGATTCTTTTCTAAATACTGCCAATTATGTCATCTGTTGAGTTTTCTTTAAAACGGTCTCTTGTGTCCTGTTGTCAGACCCTTCAGTATATACTTGATTATAATAGTGGGCTAAATTACACACATTGTTTTAGAAGTCTGGACCCCTAACCATGTCTAGAAACATGACCTTTAAAAATAGGAGTGCTACAAAGAAAGTAAAGTTTTCACATAATACATTTAATGTGACACTATCAAAATGCTGTATATCTCGTCATCTTTAGTAAGAACCTTTTCCTCACCATCTATTCATATTTTTATTACTCTCTAAAGTTGAATCTTGACTCTAGATCCTGAGGAATAATTTCAAAGGACCATGTCCCACAGTGACTGCCTCTACCTCTTCAGTATGTATCTTGTCAATTTTGATCACCTCGTACATGGATTCTTCTGCCTGCTCTCATGAAGGCCAAGGGTTGACATAGGAATCACTGCTCTTTGCTTGGAATAGACCTGGAGCTGAGTTTTACACTAGTGCCACGCTCACAATCCCAGGGTTCTCTGGACCATGTTCTCAGAGCCTTCCAAGTTCTGTTCTGCTTCCTTCAGCAAACTTCCAGTCTGACAATTGGCCTGCGTTAGTGTTGTTTAGTTTGTGTGAATGGTTTTCTAAGGTTGCATGCCTCTGAACATAGCTGTTTGTATTTTTCCACTTCTCTTTCACTAGAATCTTCTTCACCTGCCATTTCAGCATTCCATTCGCAGATTTCTGAATTGCACCGAGCCATTATTATTCCTTTAATTTCATTGCATTTTTGTCACCTGATGATCTTGTTCTCTGGTACAAGATGATGAGGGATAATGCATCTCAGAGTCGTCTGGTCCTTGAGGGGGCTGCCATGCTGCTTCAGTGATGCTTGCTTGCTCATTCTGTCACTCTATTTTTCTATTTTGAGTCTTACTATGTAGCCCTGGCTTGCTGGAACTCTCAATGTAGACCAGGCTGGCCTGCAACTCAGAGATTAGTCTGCGCCCCATCCCCACTCATGCTGGAATTAGTGGCATATACACCCAAATCTGGTAATAAAGTGGGGTTTTTTGTTTTGTTTGTTTTGTTTTTTGTTTTTCTGAGACACGGTTTCTCTGTGTTGACCTAGCTGTCCTGGAACTCACTCTGTAGACCAGGCTGGTCTTAAACTCACAGAGATCCATCTGTCTCTGCTTCCTGGGTGCTGGGATAAAAGGTACATGTGCTACAACCACCTGGCTGTAATGTTTATTTTCATTACGAGGAATATGTAGTTTTCCATTTCCCACGAAGATCATGGGACTCATGTTTAACACAGTCATTGAAGTATCTGTTTCAAATTCTCTAGTTGTTAAAGCTCTGTGACAACCAAATTCTTGAGTTTCCTGCTCATGTAAGTTCTTTTCTCTTACTTTTAAGAATTTCTTCAGTCCACTGCACTTTTAAAGTCTTCGTTCTTTTAAAGAATGACATGTTGTATACACTGTTTCAACTCAGTGACTTTCTTCTGAAGCCAGACTTGCACTGATCATCTCCATCCGTTCAGCCCCCCCCCCCCCCCTTGCTGTTAGCAGTCTTTAACTTAGAACACTCAGCTTCAGACTTTGTGAATGAGTCAGCCTCTGGGCATTCCTTGATTTTTGCAACTGTTTGAAATTGTTTTATCATAAATTTTATTTATTCTTATGCTTATGGTGGTGGTGGTATGTGTGTGTGTGTGTGTGTGTGTGTGTGTGTGTGTACCAAGAGAGATCAGAGAACAACTTGCAGGAGTTAGTTCTCTTTTTGTACCTTGTTCAATCTGTGGATTTAGCTGGAGTCCTCAGACTTGTGCAGGAAGTATTTTATCACTGAGCCATCTCACCAGCCCTCAGATTCTTTTAATTTCAAGGTAGTGTCCTCAGAGAGACTTCAGCCTCTTCATTATATAGCTCTTTCTCCCTGGCAACTATGCTTAATTTTTTTTTTTCATTTACTCCCTTCGTTTTTCAAGAACTGTTTTATTAGCACATATTAATTATATATGACATTTGGGTTTCATTATGACATTTTCATACACACATGTATAATACCATCATCTTCACTCCTCATGACCCTCTCCTGTTCCCCTCCTACTCCACTGATCCTCTTCTTTTTGTCTTTTTGTTGTTGCTGATGATGATCATGGTGACCCAAAGAGTTTTCATTATGGTTGCATGTAGAGCATGGGTGAGGGGTTATTTACAGAAACATAGGCACATTCCCAGCACTTGCAACCCCGAAGAAAATGTCTCCCTCCTTCATTAACCACAACTACCTATAAATGCTCAGGGTGGGGTGCAGCCTCATGAGCCCCTCCTGCTTCACAGCAGGATGTAGATTGGCCCAACCTTACAGCGACCATGTGTAGAATCACAGTGTGATGACTATGTCATAGCCAGAAAACAGCGTTCCACAACACGTCACCACTTCTTGCATTATTCCCACCCCGCCCCCATTCTGTAATGTTCTCTGAGCCCCAGAGGGGGTAATGCAGATGTCCCACTTATGCTGAGCACTCAATAATCATATCTTCTCATTACTGTGACCATTATGAGCTCCGAAGTCACTTCTGCCCACTACAAAAACAAGTTTCTCTGGCAGTAGCTGGCTGCGGCTCTCACCTATGGCACAAAACATAGCAAGCAGTTTGTTGCCTTTTTATCTGAATGGAAACCTGCACTTGCCAGGCTCTGTCTCCACTTCCGAATGCTCTGTGGCCCTCCCGGTTCTGCATCTGCTAGTCTTGACGTGCCCCTGCCTTCCCACTCTTTCTCTTTTTCTGCAAAGTAGTTCATTGTGCTCTTCGTAGTTTCTATTTGCCTTTCATTGGATTAAAAATACAGAAACGTCACGAATTGTCGTGTCGTCCTTGCATGGGGCCACGCTGATCTCTGAATCGTCCTGCTGCCAGTACACGTACTGCAGAAGGAGTGCACGCCATAGAAGTCTCCACATTATCTTGAGCCTGTAGAATAATCACTTAAAATAGAGCATTCGAAGTAACTTTGAAAGCTCATATCTATCAGGAAATTTGTAGGAACTTGAATGAAAGTTTTTAAGCTATTTTTTCCAGTTTTAGTGGGAAATTTACATTAATGTGATTGATATTTACATGAACCAAACCTACTTACATCCCATCTTTAAAGGGATAGAGAAGATAGGTCAGGTAATCAGATGGAGAGAAGCTAACATAGCATAGTCACATGACTTGGACAGTATTGTTTCAGGTTCATTGCTGCATTCCATCACATTTATGACATTATGGAATAGATTAAACAAAACTTGGAAATAGCCGTTGGCATGGTTGGCTGAGTGCCTGGTCTCTTAAGCTACATATAAAGTATGTCAGTAAAAACTGAGTCCTTAATGGTGCCTCTGTTGTGGAAAATACTACCTAGTGGCTTTGAATTTCATTTTATTTGTATTTATATTGCTTGAGCTGAAGGATTTTTAGGTTTGCTACTTACTCTCGTGATACAAACTCCAATATTTTCCTGTCTTATAGCTACACAAAGTTTAATTTTATTTGATCACCCTCATCTTTTCCCAGTAGCTTTTACCTTTGCATATTAATTAGGTTTCTAAGTGTTTTATTTGTTTTGTTTTGTTTTTTGAAGTTTGGGAACAGTAGCTCTACTTGTCAGTAATCGACATTTTCTCCATTTACATGTAGAGCAGCATGCCCACAGGCTCACACACACACTTTGGAGGAAAGAAAGCAGCGCTTCTCCTCCCTTTGATTACCTTCTTCCTGAATACACTGACAGTTAGTTATTTAGTCTTCTTTGAAGTCTTAGGATTTTTTTTTGACCAAATTGGCTAATTGAACACTGAGAAATCTCAAGGTTTCCATCTAATAAGTGAAAACAACATTTTGAGACCTGACTGCATTTGAGTGCATAATCATTTCATAACCACCACATGCTTATTTATGATTTTCAAATGATAATTTTGCTAAGGAAAATCAAGGTCCTTAAAGAACATATGGGGTGTGTGTGTGTGCACATGCTCGTGCATCAGAGTACTCTGTTGTGTGTCAGCTCGGGTGTTCATAAGAACAGGAATGTGCAATGCTAGCCCTTAATTCCAAATGCACTATTATGCTTCATTTTTTCTTGCTGTTCAAACTTTTACACTAACGTGGTAAACTAAAATGAAGTTTTGCTCTCCTTATCTGTATTAGGAATATTTGAAATGCAGCTGTTGATGGAGTTGTTACTGTGTTCTGAGACATTTAATTTAAACTCCCACCTTTTAAAGCAGTGAAATATTTATTGGTAAGCCAGAGGGCCATGTGAGCTGAGCCACCCTTTCGATTAGGCAAGTATTGTCACAAAGGACCAAATGGTTTAAAAAGGAGTGAGTGTCTGCTTAACTTCTCCACTTGATGTATGAGTCTGGCCATCTTTTAATTGAGTGAGACAAACTGAAAGGAAACCCATAACATTTTTTATTATCTGTATAGAAAGTGTATGAAAATACACAGCCTGAATTTTAATCATGAGATGGCTAAAAACCCTTGTAGCCATATCAGAGTAGGTAAAATCATTAAAATGCTCTGTAAACCAATGAAAATAAAAGAATAGCCTGACAATAACCTCCATATTTTGTTTTTTTCTAAAACCCAGTTTCCATTACAAATCAAACACAGGCATGGTAGCTCATACATGTAGTCCCAACACTTAGTAGACTGAGTGAGACAGAGAAATTATGGATTTGAGGCCAGCCTGGGTACCTTGTAAGGCTGTCTCAAATACAATAAAAACAAAAGCAGAGAGAACCAGGTTGTTCAAACAATTCTTGCACAACCTTTAATAATCTGGTAGACTTCATAGTCCTGAGTCCAGGTTTCCCTTTTAGTTTCATTTCTATAAGACAGATATTTTCATATAAATGGAAACATTTTTTCCTCAAAGCAATTATTCAGAACATGCTCCTTATATTAAGGATTATGTAACCACATTTTTGTAAATGCCCCCCTGTGTAACTTTTTCCTATTATGTGATTCTTTTTCAATTAATTTGATCTTCTGCTGGTGTAGGGGCCAATAGATTTGTGAATATTTTGTGAATGTGTCCATGTATAAGTGTGTATATATATATAAATGTATATATTTTCCAGCTAATACCTCAGATGTGTGATTGTTTAATAACTACCATAATGTTTGCACAGAGCAGGGCTTCCATTAGTAGTAGGTATTCTTATTTAAAAATTTGGCTGTCAGTAAACAGAATTTCATTGGCGTGAAGTCATTCAGTTGATTTCCATGTTCTAATACAGATTTCCTATTATAAGGCCCATGTGTTGAATAAAAATGTATCTTTCCAAATCTGGTAACCCTGAAGTGGTTCTTGAAAAGTCCTGTTTTAATAAGTTATTAAAACGTGGGGTGACTGGTTGCTGAGATGACTAATAACTGCATAGAGGCAACAGACACCTGATGCAAGTGCCAGCAATCCTGCTGGTTTCATCATGAGATTCTGCTTAGCTTTCCAATGGTACCGTTAACACTGGAAGGGATAATGAGCGGCACTAGCATTTTCAACATTGCCTTCAAAATGAACTGAGTTGAGTGACTACAGTAAGAAAGAAGCAATTGGTATTTGTAACTTATTTATATTAAAAAGTACTTTGTTTCTGCTTTAATTATGGTCTTTAGATTGCTCTGTGAGACTTTCCATTTAAAGTTTTACTTTATTTATTTTTTTCTAAGATGTGGTAATTTCCAAGGTGTGATACAGATTTTCAAGGTCTGGCAAGATTTTAATGGAAGCCTTGTGTTAGTAAAATGAAGTGCTATGGTAAAGGATGTCAAGATCACATAATTAGGTTTAAAAATGAAAGGTCTGATTTGTAAAAATTTAATGTTATATCAGACTTATATAAGATTTCCTGAGAGAACTCTCATGCTGCTTTTGATTTTTAATGAATGTTCTAATGAGTGGTTTATGAATTTTTGTCTTTCAGTCTCTGTAATTTATCTCAACATAATAATAAAAAGAACGGATGTTCTCACCATAAAAGGCTTGTCATCATTATATTTTATCCTTTTGTTTTCTGAGACAGAATCTCACTCTGTATCTCTTGCTGTGCTGGAACTTGCTGGCTCTGTAGACCAGGTTGATATCAAACTCATAGAGATCCTCAGTCTCCTGAGTGTTGGGATTAAAGGTGTGTACCACGGTTGCCTGGCATATTTTATGCTCTTTATATGCTCATTCTCTCATTCATTGAGCCATTCAATAAATGTATAAATCCCTGGTGTATAACAGGTAATGAGCTAAGAGCTGGGAATATTAACTGAACAAGACAAAGCTCTAAGAAAATACTATTGTCAAGGAAATAAATCTAATTTTAATTTTGATACATGTAAGGGGATCATAAAGTACAATGAGAACATTTATCTAGAATACCTAAACTATTCTGGAAAGGTCAAGGAAGATTTCACTGAGAAAGTAAACTTAAGCTGAAACCCAAAAGATGGAAGAAGAGTGAGGTGAACTACTACAGAAAAACTTCATGCAGTGTGTGTCAACTGGTGTTATCATGAAAATGATAGGATTCACAGCTGCTGTGGTTGCTTGCACAAGATCAAGTTAGTCAGCACTCTAGCATGGAGTGGGAGGGGTACATGGGCTCCTCAGTTCGTAACTGGGGAGCTATGAACAGTTGATAGCTTCTGAGAGAGGGAGTGTCACTTTTCTTTATGGGTGGTCCCTAGTAGGTTGACCGTGCTCCGTTGGATAGTCCTACAGGTCCAGGAGTATACGAGCAGCACAAACTGGACTAGATGGATTATTGGGGGGGAAAGGACACAAAGTTTGGGAGGTATAGCCATGGGGGCAGACCTAGGAGGACTCAGAGTAGAGGAGTGGGGGTAAATATCAAAATACATTGTATGAAATTCTCAAAGAATGAAAGCATTAAAACTTTATGGGACTGGGTGGTGGTGGCACACACCTTTAATCCCAGCACTTAGAGGCAGTGGCAGGCTGATCTCTGTGAGTTCCAGGCCAGCCTGGTCTACAGAGTGAGATCCAGAACAGCCAGGGTGTTACATAGAGAAATACTGTCTGAAAAAACTTTATGGAAATCAAAATAAACTTGTGTAACGATTTAGTATAAGAATTCCCAAGTAGTCGAGAGACGAAAGATAGGGTCGGTCCTACTAATCTTCAGAAGATGATATACGAATCATGGCGATGGTATTACACCTCAAGCCAGTGTCCAAAAATTTAGATTTTTAAGGAAGGAGTCATGGTATCAGATTTGAGTTTTTAGAGAATAATTTTAGTTGTTATTGGAAGGCTGCAGCAATGTATTCCTAACAACTTGCTGAGCAGCTAGTCATATAACAATTTTAGCAGTTTTGTCTGCTATTTCTAAGTGATGATGTAGCTTGGGTCTTAAGTATCTCCAGTGGGTTATCTGGTAAAACCTTGATCACTTGTCTCTCAACATGCCCACATCTTGATGTGCCAATACCAAGTAATGGAATCAATCAGTCATGAAAAGAAACTTGTAATACCGAGTCAAAGCTAAGTTGACTGTTAGACTGATAAGCTGATCGACGTGTGTGGATATTGGTTCACTCTCACTGAACAGAAGTGAGGGCTTCAATCAATAACTGAAAGATGTATGTGTAAAAGTCATTGTTAGAGAAAACAGGGTGTAAGGGAAGAGGCCAACAAATATGACTGCTGACTTAGAGAGTCATGATTCCAATTCAACTGTAAGGAGAAACAGGTTCGCTGGTGTTTTAAGAGCTTTTGGGTTGGAGCAGAGAGTGAGACAGGAAAGATAATTTTCAACTTTCAGTAAGCAAGAGAAAATGAAGACAGAACACAGCTGGAAAGTGTAGGTTCAGAACGAATTGGTTGTGGAAGGAGTAAATCTTCAAAATTAATAACAATAACAATAATAATAACAACAATAATAATAATAATAATAATAAATGCTGTCACTTGAAGAGTTAGGAGACCAGAGAGAATGGGGATCTGAATCATATTATACAGTATCCCACAGTAAAGAAATCGGGCCAGCCCTTTAGACCCAGCACTCAGGAGACAAAGGCCGGAAGATTTCTGTGCGGTGGAGGCCAGCTTGGACTACATAGCAAATTCTAGGTCAACCAGATATACAGTGAGACCCTATCTCAAAATTATATAGTAACTTTTAATTGAAGTATTTTAATAATGAAAAGGAAAAGAGGGGGTGGCTTTTAAGAACGTCCCTTGTGGACTTCTCATGTCACTTGTAAGAATCTGAAATGACTAGGACGGGTCATTTGTTGAGCTGCGTAGTTAACAGTGTCACCCTCTCAGACAGCTGGAGGAGATGCCTACACGACATTTCCACTATGTCTTTGTGTTGGAGCCCTACTTTTAGGGATTGGAAACGAGGATGAGGAATGTATCCCCATACATCTTACTTCTCAAGGTACACCACTGTTACGAATACATGAGGTAAGAGGAAATCTGCCGCAAAAGCCATCAACTCCGCTTTTCCTGAGAAGATCAGACAGTTGGCCCCGTGGGCCATGACTTTTACCCAGGTGATTTCTATTGGTGTCTGCGTTTTCACAGGAGTCCACTAAGCTGACCTTACTGCAGCCCTTTACCACAAAGAGCTACCAAAGCGTCAATGGTGAGAAACATTTGGGCCAAGGCGATTGGAGAGTCCTTTTGGCTAGTGTTCCCCTTACAGTAGGCTTTCTTGAATGTACAAACACCAAACAAAAGATACAGTGTTTAGACGACACAACCAATGTAGGCCCAGAGCCAAAGAGACAGCCCGCTTTAAAACAGACTTGACAAGCTTGAGCCCACCCCTCACTGCTCCTGCATTGACTCTGGGTGAAAAGTGAAGAGTGTGTACGCAACCGGCGAGACAAAAATAAGTAAATTAATGAAAAATAAATAAATAAAAATGGGACCTGGGACTTCTAATAAGGATGATATTCAGTTCGTGCTCCTCAAACGTCTTCATTCGTAAGAAAAGATTTAGGATAATGGGTCTGGAAAAGGTGTATGCACAGTCCGCACAGGAACGTCTTCCGCTGCAGGGGTGGAAAAGAGGCTGCGGGGACCTCAGGTGCCCGCCCCGCAGCGCTCGGCGCAGCGCGCAGGCGCAGTCTCCCAGGCCGGCCCGGAACTTCCGAATCGTCGCGAGCGGAGGGCAAGTTCTTCCTGGAGCGGGGCAGAGGTCACGAGTCATGTGACAGCCGCTTGACAGGAGGCTTGGGAGAGGCGACGGAACTGCGGGGACCCCCGGGCAGGTCGCCCCGGGCTGGAGCGCGCGTGGCTCTGCAGAGGTCGGCGCTGGGACGGGGTGGGCGGGCGGAGGGGGACGTCGGGGCTGCCCGCCTGGCTCCCACGACGGAGACCCAGGACTGCGGCGTCTCGCCGGGCCCTGCCGAGGGTGGCCCTGGTGATGCTGGGTCTGGGGAGGGCGATGAGCCCGGGATGCAGGGAGAGTCACGAACGTTTCTCCTCCAGGCGTGCAGATTGATCCAGCGAGAGAAAGGGGTTCGTCATGGCGGATGTGAGTTGACACCCCTTCCCCGTAGAAAGGGGATGTGGGAGGTTTGCGTGGGGCTGCTGCGTGGGGAGAAACTTGTTCCGTCCTTAGCCCGGCCCTCTTCCCGGATCTGCTGCAGGGGCCTAATAAGGCCTGAGTTTCTAGCAGGAATGGTTGTGGTGGACCCCCGAAGTGTCCTTCCCGCCTCCCAATCCTGTAGGGCACACGAGAACTCCGTGTAGTTAACATTTGACATTCTAAAGGATGGCTGACTCCCTTCTCTCAGCAGCTGTCCCGCGGGACGCTGCTCTGATTCCTTCCCCACTAAGTACTCATGATGCTCAGTAGGTCCACTGTTGCAATCTAAAAGGATTTCTGACGGGCGCTCCTTTTGCTACCTGTGTCCCGTTTTTTTGTGTGTGTCTGTTTAAGAGCGTCAGGAAGTTTGTGGTGGTTACATGGAATAAGATACGCATGAACCATGCTCCATGTTAAATACATCACATTGGCGTTATCCTGGTCAGGAAACTGAATATCAGAGTAGTTCAACTGACTTAGGATCTTTAAAAACGGTTGTGGAACATCTGTATGCACACGAGAAGAGGGTCATAGACTGTTCCCAAATAAATACAGTATTATCAGGAAGTGAGTCACTATCAAACACATGATTTCGTTTTACAGCAAATGTGTACTTGTGTTTCCCTACTCCAGGTACACTAACCTACAAATCTTAACATACACACGTTGCTAAAATCTTACACATTCTTAGGATGTAGGGTCTGTGACTATCCCTGTTATATATAATGAAACACAATGAAACTGAGACCTAGAAAAAAGGTTAATTAACTCCTTCCAAGTTACACAAGTAAAAGATGAGAGCCCAGCTAAAAAATGGTGATTTCGTGTCCCTTAAAGGGGGATTTGGCCAGAGCTAGAAAAGCATACTATAATATGATTTTTAAAAATTCTTCTCTTTCAGGATCTAAAGCGATTCCTGTACAAAAAGTTGCCAAGGTAAGAAATTACTAACTTGTTGCTGAATAAATTCTGTGTAACATTAATTTTACAAGGAATTTTGTTTCACCTTTTTAGGTTAGCATTTTATATGTGTCATGGTAATTATGTCCCACATTTAAATTCATAATTAATCTCAAGTATCATAAGTAATGGCTTGAGTTTATAGATAGATGATATAAAGCTAGAGCTGTTTCATGACTTTTCATGTTCAATATGAAATAGATGCTGGAGCCCAGAACTTAGATTTCTTGCCACTTTCAAGTTTTTTAAAATGCACTATCACAGTTGTTTATTGGATTATAGTTTAAAGTTCTTAAGTAAATTTAAGGAAACAAATGAAGAACTTGCCATTATTTTTAATGTCATTGCTGAGTCAACATAATCCACGAATACAAGCCTCAGACAAGGGTTCATACTTAAAACCTCAGCCCGTCTCTGCTTTGGTGTTAATGTTACAAACTTCTTTTTACGTAGATTACTGATCCAGAGGACTTCCTCACTTGAATTCATTGAAACTCACCGTAGTTTAATGGGGAAAAGGGTGCCTTTGTTGACAGCGCCTCCTTTCTCCAAAGTCACAACTGTTCACAAATCGGTGACCGTCCAGGATGAGACAGGAGGGAAGGGAACTGTGACTTGAGCGTTGTGTTTACACGTTCCAGAACAAAGCAGTCAGACTGGGTTGAACAACCTTTGAGATAGTCTAGGGGAATATTCCAGGAAACCCTTTCCTATCTCCTCAGTCTAGAGTTATGAGTGGTTGTGTCTGGATATCAGTTTATCTCTGTGGATTGGAAAAATGAACCATCGTTCTGACTCTTGCTTGAATTGTTGGATGTGTTTGCATATTATCTTAAGCTTTTACTCTGATTATAGATCAATGAAGATCAAAGACAATTCGTTCTAGTTTTGACTTATGTTGTATTTCTCTTATGTATTTATGAAGAAAACACTATTGGTGTATTGAATGAAATAATGGGAAACCATTAAGCTAATTTTGATTCTCTTCCTTTGAATAAGATGGCAAATTATAGAGACTAACTACCGGTTCTTTTTCACACAAATGGCCATCATGACGGCAGTTATAGCTTTGCACGCTAACACATGACAGCAGAAACAATGGTATGGGCTAAAACCATGTTGGGGAACTTTAGTGAGTAGCGGAGGAAATAGTAGTTGTGACCTTATCTCTTTTCAAACATTAAAGCTTTTCTCATTATTGCTTACAAATATTTTTGGGAACGCAGGCTGTCCTCATTTGCTTTCCGTTGCTGGGATGAAACACTAAGAGGAGCACAGGAGGAAAGGATTTATCTCATCATGGAAGGGCAGGGCAGGAACTGAGGCAGAAACCCTGGAGGAGCTGCTGCTTATTGGCTTGCCTCCCCATGGCTTGCTCAGCTTGCTTTTTTTCTACAGCTCAGAACCGCCTGCCTTGAGGTGGTGCCACCCTCACCAGCCATCAATCACTTACCCGCCGGCCAGCCTAAGGGAGGAGGCATGCTCTTAACTGAGGTTCCCCCTTCCCAGATCTCCCTACCTTGTGTCAACCTGCCAAAAATCTAGCCAGCACACAGACAAATCCACTAACTAGTATTTGCTTAGAGTACTAAAACATTAGAAACATTGTGAAAGTGAGCTGGGCATGCTGGATAGGCCTACAACCCCAGCATTTGGAAGGTGACAGAAGTGGAGATTCTGTCTCAGGAACTACAAGGATGGTTAGAATGCTCCACAGGTAAAGGCACTTGCTGTAAAACCTGATGTGGGTGGTGTGACTTGCATAGTTGAAGTATAGAGCTGAAGCCTACACATTGTCTTCTGACCACACACTAGCACACACACAATAAATAAAAATGTTTGCCACAGCAGCTAAAAAGAAAAAGAAACTGAGTTTGGGGTTGTTGTTGTTTTGTTTTGTTTTATGGAGTCACTTCAGGGTGTGTATTCCTTTCGTTTGCCCCCAGATTAGGGCCAGGCATCTTTTCTACTCTCTGCCTCACCTCTCATCAGCTTTCCATGTTTCATCCTTTGATTTCCCATGCCGTGAAGTCCTGGAGTTTCCCTTGATGTGTTTGTTGCGATGTTTTTATCCAGTAGCTTTCCATCCGTGTCCGTAAGCTCACCTGCACTGGTTACCCCGGCTTCCTATCTGAGCAGCTGTAATGGTGACCATAATTAGTTGAAAGTAAATGTTTGTTTTCTTTTTGAATTCGGACAGTTTACCTTTTAACCAAACAAGTCACCATATGGTAAGGCTCATACAAGAAATATATGCAATTTAAGAGTATCATAAAGGCGGAGTGTATCTCAGTGATAAAGTATTTGTCTCGAACTCAGAAGGCTTTGGGTTCACTCTGCGGCACTTCCAAAGGGGGCAGAAGAGTATTTTCCGTAGCAAATGGGTTTGGTAGAGTTCATGCATTTTTGTTATTTTTAAATTTTTATTTATGTGTGGGGTGTCCTATGTGCACTGTGTCCATGGCTGGTGTCTGGAGGACAAAGGGTGTCAGGTCGCCTGGGACTGGAGCTACAGATGGTTGTGAGCTAACATGTTTAATTCTCTGTTAAATACTGTTCTTAGGTTTGTATTTTAAAATTGTTGTGACCCCCCCACCCCAAAAAGAAGCATCTCAGGGTTTCCATGTTTTAAAGTAGCTGATGTTTTATATGAGAAACAGTTTGGTTGTGCCTTTTGAGGCAGGATTGCAGGGTTGGGGAGTCTGAGGGGCTGAGCCCAGGGCCTTATGCGTGCTTCCCAAACATTCGGCCACAGCATCAGCCCCAGTGGATGCCTTTAATACTAATAGAACACTGTTTTTAGAATGAAGGTTTTTGTTTTTAGTAAGTTTTAGACTTTTGCTGATTAATAAAATTTACTTTTTATGAATGTGTCGGTTGGTGGCCCAACAATTATTATTAGTAGAAGCGAGTCACATCATTCTTGGCCTGTTGGGTACAGAATTGAAAACAGCTTCTCTGTTTGTGACCTGAATTCTAAAAAGGAGTGCTTCAGAGTGTGGCTGTTGTACATTCTTAGACTTGTGTCTCTGTGGATTTGTAATTCAATAAAGGAACACCCTACTTTTTACCTCCGCTTTTGGTGCACTAGTTACTATGTAAATTAATTACTGTGGAAGTTAGAAAACCTTGTGATGGACAGATTTGTCTCAGCATTTTAAGTAATATATTGAGCATCTATGTTTTAAAAGAATGATTTATTTATTTTTATTTTATGTACGTTGGTGTTTTGCCTTCATGTATGCCTGTTGTTCAGTCATGTAGTTCTGCTGCTACACGCATCTGGTGACAAAGGTATCTATGTACTTACAGACAGACACCGATACGAGCGTACACTTGTACTCCGACACACACACACTTGAGAATTACCATCATGAGACTAAAATACATATTTGTAGAAATCAAAATGTTTTTGTAATACCGAACTTTGTTTTCTTGTAGTGTTGAAGGGCTCCATGCAATTGTTGTGTCAGATAGAGACGGGGTGCCTGTTATTAAAGGTAATACTGAGTACTTTGTGCCTATGGCATGTTTACTTTTGACAACAAAGTATGTCTAATATTTAAATAATTAAAACCATAGAAAGCTTATTTCAACAAATTGGAAAGCCTGTGTTAGTTTTTTGAGGAAGTGTACTTTTGTCTGTTGGAGACTGGGTGTGGGACCTGTAGTGGGTTACATGCCAGCCGGACCTTGTTAACATCTGGAGTCTCCGCATGCGTTTACCACAGGCCCAGTTTTTCACTGCCGATGCTTATGATATAATGCAAACTGTGAAATATATCTTCCGTATTGAAAGTGAGAGTGCAAGGCAGGCAAGCACCCAATCCCTGGAACAGAGTTAGTGTGAACTCAGATTGCTTACTGTTGTATCTTCTGGTATGATCCAAGTGGATGTTGCTAGTTTTACCTAGCTAAGATTAAACAATGCCGTACACATTTTTTTTTTACAATTTCGTTTCCACATCAGGACAAATATATCAGGTAGTTTTAGACATTAGGATTAAAACATTCCTTAGAGGTCACCTAGGTTAGTTCTTCCATTTTATTACATTAACACGATGAAGTCCAGAGAGGACACTGCCTGTCCACAGCTGTGCATTGAGTTGGTGACAAGACATGAGAATCCATTATCAATGTGTCGTCTACCACACAGCGTGGGTGGCTGTGGGCAGGTCTCCTGTCTTTCTTACCTCTACACAGAAGACTTGCGTGATTCTTCAGCGCTGGTGTTCTTGCGCAGAATCTGTGAAACATGGAAGACTCCATACTTAACTGATGCAGCTAACACTATCCCAGCCTTGACAGGAAGATGAAGCAGGCAACCAGCTATGGGGCTGTAAGCTTTTATGAGAGACAGTGATTCTAGGGGCTTTATGAGAGCAAACAATTTTATAGCGTTTTCCATTTTATTCTAGTGTGTTATTAGATGACAAGAATATTCACTTTATTACATGGAAGTCAGCGTATCTTCCCTGATTTATGAAAACTGAACTTCTGATTAAGTAGTTTTTCCCATCTGAATTGATGAGATCCAGGTAGTAGTAGTAGGGTTTTCAACACTGTAAATGTACCTTTGTGCCTAGGTTTTTATGGGTTTTTTGAACGTTGCTGTTAAACTCTTTCTTCCTACTCTGTATAATTTTATTTAATTCTCATTCCCCAGTGGCCAACGACAGTGCTCCAGAGCACGCCCTGAGGCCTGGCTTCTTATCCACCTTTGCCCTTGCAACAGACCAAGGCAGCAAACTCGGACTTTCAAAAAATAAAAGTATCATCTGCTACTACAATACCTACCAGGTTAGTATATTCAATATGTAGCTACCAAATGCTTCCCTGTCTCATCTATCATTTTTATATCTTTTTATAAACTGATTTTGGTATAAGCCTAAATTTTAACACGAGGAGGATAGAATTTAAGAAAAATTAGTCTTCATAGTACTTATGTTAAGACTAGCCTCTTTGATATTTTTGTGTCAGGAAATAATTATTACGGAAAAATACTAAAACCTTTAAAAATAAAGAACTTGTTATCCTGTGAAGTGTGCTGTATTAAGTCACTGTTAACTCCAGTAGATGTGTTCTATGGTAGATGTGTACACTAGTAGATGTGTACTATGTACTATGGAATGTGCTGTGAACTCCAGTAGATGGTGCCATTAGCTTACACAGCTGTGATTCTTCAACACAGTTCCTGTGTTGTGATGGTAAAAGACCTGCCTTGAAAAGTCAGAGGTCAGCTGTTTAAATGTGTTGTTTCAGCCACATCATAACTGTGTTTTCACCACACAACACACTGTTTAGATCTTATTTTCCTTTTAGGTGGTTCAGTTCAATCGTTTACCTCTGGTGGTGAGTTTCATAGCCAGCAGTAATGCCAACACAGGTATGTTAGAAGTCCTGCAGATGCAGTTTGCTTCTGTATAGTGGTGTGCTTGTAGCTGGGCGTGGTGGCATGTACAGCAAGATCCATTAGGAATGACAGACGTGGAGTGAGAAAATCTGCATTTGTGGCTCAGCCCCACGTTCTCTTGAACTTGATTCCTAGTTTCCATGTCCACAAAACAGGGACCTCTCCGTCTTACAGGGTCATGTTCATATGCAAATGAGATGGTGCAAGAGATTGGGCTTTTTTGCAGTTGAAGCTAGTTCAGTGTTGTGTTTTGTATGCTATTTATACTCACATTAAAACAATCTACAGAAATGAAGGCTTATAGAACATAAACTAAAGAGAACACAGAGCAGATGCTTAATTTTATAGACCCACTAGTTACAATTTTAAAAATTTGAATACTTGTAAAAAAAGTTGAGTTTGACTGAGAATTTAGAGATAGTTTCTTCTTTTTTGTTGCTGTGGTGAGATTCTCTTGACAAACACAACAGGAGAAGAAAGGGTTGCTTTTAGCTCAGCATTCATAAGAAAAATTTTCTAACATTCTGATCTTTTAAATCTCTTTTAGGACTAATTGTCAGCCTAGAAAAGGAGCTGGCTCCGTTGTTTGAAGAACTGATAAAAGTTGTGGAAGTGTCTTAATCTAACAGTGGTTTTGATGTGTACCTTGTCTTCATTGCAACAACACTGTACCAGTCCAGCAATCCTTAGACCACAGTAATACTTTATCTGTGTATTCCGAGGGCCGCTTTTCCACCTTACACTAAAGAAGAGCCTATAGCTATAATTTATAGACAGATCAATTGTTGTATTTATGTGTATTAGGTCTTTTCTTACTTAGTGAGATCTGGGAACGCCACACAAATGATTCATTCTGGTGCAGCTCCCATGGAGTTAGTGTGGATGCCTGACAGTGGGTGGTACTCTGTCCAGCGCATGGGGGTCAGAACGGTACACAGATGCTCTGGAGCCAGCAAGCCATCCTGCCTCACAGTGCTCCCCACACCTGCTGCGTAGTGCTCTCGCTCCACAAGCCACAGAGACTCTTCCTGAGAATAATAGTGAGGACATATTTTCCTTTTTCTTCTTTGAGGACATATTTTTCTTAAGATTATATTTTATTTCCTGGTATAGAGTGTGAGGAAGATGAATGGCTTAGTGCAGATAATAAGTACAATCACTAACTTTGGTCTGTATGCGGTCTCAGTGTAGATAAGTATTACCGGTGGATTTGATGTTCTTCGAGGGTGCTGCTCTTCAGTGAGAACGAAAATCACTGCTCATGGTTTCTCTTCTACTTTCTGTAACAGTGCTTCCATGGTTGTGTTCTTTATACATTGAAAATGCCGTGTTACTGAATTCTGTTTCCAGTACCAGTATGTACATAAAATGACAGTATAGCCATTTTTCATATGCAAATATAAATAAAATAGTATTTTTAAAAATACAGAATGAGCTTTGTATAGGCCTCTCTTTTCAGACTTTCACAATTGTAATGGATGTAGTTAATTCTGTCCCAGCTTCATGAATAGGCAGTGGACGCTGCTTGCAGGATTATATTGGGAGATTGTTTTACCTAATAATTCTCTGTCAAGACAACCTCACCCATGAGCCTGACTGGGTCACAGGGAAGGAGGTTATATCTGCTTCATATGCTAAGAGGCTCAGGAGTGGATCAGCCGTTCAGGTTCTGGCTCACCTTGTCGTCTGCTGCTGGGTGGTTTAGTCCACACGCATTGCTTGTGTGCAAGTCTCCAGCACTCCCCCTGCACAGCTGTAGAGTCCATGTGGACTGGAGGTGTGCTCTGGGGATGGCTTTTCATGGCGTAACTGCTGGCGCTGTCCTTGGGTTATTAGCTATGGCTGCTGCTGTTGGGTTTCTATCTCAGGGAATGTATGGGATACATTTTTCATCATTTGTAAAATCATGCAGGTGGAAATTACTAAATATTCCTCTGCAAAGGTAACATGAAACCAGTAACTTAAAATTCTGTCTATTTAGTGTTGCGTGTGCAAACATACATGTACATGTGTGCAGTCAAAGGACAGTGGGGGAGTCAGTTCTCTGTCTAGGGATGGAACTCAGATTGGCCACTCATGCACAATAAGTAAAAATTCTAAAATGCTTCAAGCACCAAAACAAATGAGGTATTTGGGGAGAAAGTTATATCAGTCCTCCAGCAGATCAGGGTTTATATGTATGTGTATTCATCACACAGGTCTGTGCAAGAAACTGAGGTCAAACTGTGGAGTACACCCAGAAGTGGAAATCATCTCCACTCAGGCCTTTCCCCTTACTGCAGAGATCTTCCGGCTGATTGGATGAGTCCTGCCCATTTCCCTTAACTGAAATTTGCATCCCAAAGCCTGCCAACCTCACATAGATTCCTTCCCAGCTGTGCTCCAGACAGCTGTACCTGCGCTACTCAGAATGTGGCCCAAGCCCAGGCCATTCTATACTGGTAGAAAATACAGAGATTGGTGCTTAACTCCTTGCCTCTCCCAAGCACTGGGATTGGAGGGGGTGGGGCATACAACACTAATTTGTTGTCTGCTGAATCTGATCTTTAAAATGAGATTTATAATTTCACTTATATGCAATATACAATATGTAATATATAATATATAGTTTGTTATGTATGTGTATGTGTGGTGAGGGGTTAGGTATGTGTATGGGTGCCTGTAGAGGTCAGAAGAGGCAGTGGAGTTACAGATGGTTGTGAGCTCTTTAATGTGGGTGTTAGGAATCTTTCTGGTCCTTTCTTCAGTCCCCTTAAATCATTTTTTAATGACTTTTATAAAAGCCCTGTCTATGATAGGTCAGAAATGTTTTAAGAAGTAAAACTGGTCCTCCAGCGCAGGCGGCTAAACAACTCCACTTGAAGTCTGGCTACACAGTGTGAAGCCACGACTCAAGTCTGGCTCTCCACTGTATGGTTTCCTTCGTAAGGAAGACATTAGTGACGTCTGAAGTATAGAAGAAGGGGGAAGTAGCGTCTTATGTCCTCTTCCACAGTCTTCATGCTCTCTGTGCCGAGCAGGGTCCTGTCATCAGAGTGGGGGAGGGGAAGAGACTAATCACTGCTGCATGCCCCGCCTATAGGAAAACAGATAGGCACCTCACTGTGTTCGGATGCCCAGGGGCTCTGAAGCAGGGGACAGCTTCTCCAACTGCACTACGCTCGCCTCATCCAAGGGAAGATAGTACCATCCTAGTAGGAACATGTGGAGCAACATTTTCCCAGAATCTTGACAGTTATCGCTAACGTTTGGCTGTGTCTTTCTTAGGAGAACTTGGACAGACACACCTCACTCACTTTTCTCCCACACCCCCCTGCTCTGGTCTGCCATCCGCACATAGCATCCTCCCTTCTGCCATTTTGGATTTGGCTCCAGAGAAGAGCTCCCCACGAGGCTCTTCTCTGGAGGTAAAGTATGATGTTCTCACTGGACAGCCATGAGAAGAACAAGCATGTGACCTGGTCCTAGGCATTAGGGGTGTGTGCGGTAGCTCCCATTTCATGCCAGCCCCGCTAACAGATGGTCTAATGCCCTGCCCACTTTCCAGCTCTGCTTTGCAGACCCCTCTCAGTATTGACTGCTGTGTGTGTGTGTGTGTGTGTGTGTGTGTGTGTGTGTGTGTGTGTGTGTGTGTGTGTTGCCCTTTCCATATCCAACTAAATCCTTGGAGGAATGTGGATATTTCCTAAGCTTCTAGTCTTCTGTGAAGTAGCATTGCTATTTATGACTAATCGGTTATATTTAAGTTTTGAAAGTCTACAGGAATCTTTCTGGAGAAAACATTCCCACACTTATGAGAGTGGAAGAGAGGAGACATCCAGGGTGGACCAAGGCCAGGACAGCTCCTGAACGACTTGCATCCTGGGTCCAGTTTGTGTTCTCATTTTATATTCTAATACCACAAGATAGGTGGGCATGCAAGCATGATTTTACAAAAGCTTCCGGTGACAGTCAGCAGGTTGTTGAGGGCAACAACCCATTGATTCAGCTGTTTCTCCAGGGCCCTCTCAAGCTGAGTCGTGCTTGGCCAAAAGGCAGTACAAACTGCTTTTACTAATCACTAACATATCAGTATCTACTAATTTGGGCTTTTCTACCTTAAAAAAACAATAAAAATGTTATGAAAAAAATTGGACATATACAACAAAATCATGTACTTTTTATTTAATAAACAAAACCAAAGGATATAAATAAACATTTTACAGAAGGTAAAAAGAATATTTCACACATGAAGAAAGACTGTTTCTAAGGAAACAAAGCCATACATCTCAGGGAGGGGCCATTGTTACTCCTTATTTTGCAAACTTGACAAATACATTTTATGTTGATCTTGGTTTATTCCATATAAAATAAGCATAATAAATGCCCCCCCCCTGTAGTCAGACAGGTAAGTATTCTACCCAGTGATCAACAACCCAACTCCAAAAGCCCTCTTGGGAAAACAATTTCTGAGTCTTAGCTGTTTTAACAACAGGGGAAAATATTTAATAAGGTACTATGAATGAATTTTGATGCCAACCTGAGGAATACCAGGAAACACCTTGTGGGTATGTCTTTGAAGGCACTACGGTCCATTCATTTCATCCAAATGGATCAGAATTCGAACAGACTACTAGGATGTCGAAGAGTGTGGAGGATGGGCCCTGGTCGGAAGTACACCACTCACAACGGGTTCCTGGGGTCTCTGTCTGCCTCCTCTCTCTCCTGTTGCTGCCTTGCTCTGCTTCCTGCCTGCTGTGATATGAGCAGCTACACCACACACTAACCATGGCGAGCTGAAACATTGAGAACCATGAAGTGAAGTCAATTATTCCTGTACGCTGTTGGCTCAAGACCTCTGTCACATTGGCGAACCGAAAGAACAGTTCCATCAGCTCTGCGTCACTTGCTGGCTTGTCACCCATTTGTGTCACTTCTAACTGTTGTTAAAAGCCACATCAACAATGATAGTAGGAGCTAAGAATCTACCCATGGCCCATGAATACCAGTACTTCATTCCAATTCAATCCTCATACTCTAGTTTGCAACTTCGCAACAGCTACATGACAGAAAGTGCCCTTCGATAATCGTGGGGTGCTGCCCAGGGCTACTCTTACAACCGATCCTGGAAAGACACAGAGGGCAGCCTTTATGGAGAAGTCTCTATCAATTTGAAGAAATGGCTGCCAAAGAAAGCTTAGTCTTATAAGTGTGTTACATTTGTAATGATAATCATTAAACTAAAAGTCACCCACAGCTTGTCACCCTTCCTCAAAGTGCATTTTCATGCTGTTTAAAACATTCTCACCCTTTATTACACATTAATTTACTTTTTCCTATCTAGTTCTCACAGTTTAGCTTTAGCAGTAAAGGATCCAATGGATTTCTAAGCTTTTAAAATTGATGTGTGTGGTGTGTGTGTGTGTGTGTGTGTGTGTGTGCGTGCGTGCGTGTGTGTGTGTGTGTGTGTGTGTGTGTGTGTGTGTGTGTGTGTGTGTGTATGCTGTGGGGCACCCATGCTGACATACATGTAGAAATCAAAGAACAACTTTCTGGAGTTGGTTCTCTCCTACCTTTTATGTGAGTTTTGGGGGATCCCACTCAGGTTGTCAACCATGGCATGGCAAATGCTAAGATGGCTTACAACCACCTCACCAGCCTGATTTCTAAGCCTTTTGAAAGGAGAAACAAATATGAACATTTTTACATTTTCATTTTGGAAATTGTTGTTTGGTCTTTCGAGACAGGGTTTCTCAGTAGCTATGGAGCCTGTCCTGGAACTTTATAGACCAGGCTGGCCTCCAACTCACAGAGATCCTTTTGTCTCTGCCTCCTGAGTTCTGGGATTAAAGGCATGCGTCACCACTACCCAGCTGGAAACTATCTTTAATTATTATTATTATTGCATTATGTGCATATGTGTGAGGGAGTGTGTTTGCCTGAGTGCAGGTCCCCAAGGAGGTCAGTGGCATGGGAGCTGGATTACAGGTGTTTGTGGGTCCTGGAAATTGAACTTATGTTCTCTGCAAGAGCAGATGCCCTTTTAGTGGCCGAGCCACCCTTCAGCCCTATGTGAGGTTTGGTATATAAACAAAACAAGCAGCCCCTCCTTGGAAAGTCCTTGGTGTTTATTATCTTAATTTGCTTCCTAAAAGGGCAGCCTGAGCCCCAACATGACCACTGTTTCCTTACACAACCGAAGCTTAGTTGTGCTGGCCGGTGATCTGGGGCAGGATGCCAGGCAGCCAAAGTCAACAAGCCTAAGCCACCGTGAGCACGAACAAGCTCTTCATCTTGCACTGTGTTCTGAGTGACTCCACCTGGAAGTGGAGGTTAGGCGGTTTCCATCAGTGGGTGCTGCTTCCGTGTTGTAGAGCGGATGGCCGGTCCCACCAGCTGTTTTCCATGAATCAGCAAACAGTGTAGAGCACCAGACCACAGTCTACTTTGTGTTTGTTTTCAGAGGAAAATCCTTAATGACCTTTCCTCTGAAGCCTGCCGCAGATCAGAGCACCTGGAACATTCCACCTTGCCCCTGAGTCAAGAAAGTTCTATTTGAAGATGAATGACCGCGACCGGACAGTATCCTCTCCTTGGTCCAGCTGTTTTCTTATTTTTGACTGTAACAAAACAAAGGTACATCTACTATTGAGTCGCTTGAGATACTGACTGCGGTAGTAAGGAAGGCAATGTTGAGCAGTAAAGTGCAGCTATGACTTACCAACACCGCTACCACGCTTTAACGGTAGTTTTCCATTTTCCCTCAGACGTTGTAGAGTGCCTGTTACTATGTGTACACTTTGGGAATGGATCTACCATTGCTGGGAAAGCATGACCCAACACTGTCCAATCAAAAGGAAGACTCAGACGTGTGGTTGTGGACTTAGGAAGGTGCTGGTGATAATATGGTTAAGTGGGGGAGGGGGGCACACCGGTGAAAACTACCAGAGAAGGGCTGTGTTCTTAAAGATCCAGTTGCCCAGGAAGAAGTCTGAAAGTCTACATTTGCACTACTTTTCAATGTAAATTTTCTATAATAATTGGGTGTCATTTGGATAATAACAAAATACACTGAATTAGAAATGGAGTCATGCCGGGTGGTGCAAGCCTTTAATCCCAGGCAGATCTCTGTGAGTTCAAGGTCAGCATGATCTACAGAGAGAGTTTCAGGACAGGCTCCAAAGCTACACAGAGAAACCCTGTCTCGGAAAAAAATAAAAAAGAAACAAATGGAGTCACTTTAGTCCAGGTTGGCCATGACAAAGCATTTCCCCACTCAGAGCAGTCTCAAAATGGGCACTGTATTAACTTGAAGTTCAAGCCAAAAAGATACCTCCAAAAGACACTCATGCTCAGCAATGTTCACCGCCCTCCCAACTTTTTTTTTTTTTTGCCAGGGAGGACTGTTCCTACTACTAAGCTATAAGCCTGGCCTTAAGGATATCCATTTCCAGACAATTCCTATAGATAAAATAATTACAACACACACACACACTATCTCTCTCTCCCTCCCTCCCTCCCTCCCTCCCTCCCTCCCTCCCTCCCTCCCTCCCTCCCTCTCTCTCTCTCTCTCTCTCTCTCTCTCTCTCTCTCTCTCTCTCTCTCTCTCTCTCTCCAAGGGTTTCAAGACAGTACATAAAGGCTTGTTCCCCAAAGTGGTAGCACTGCAGGAGGTTCTTATGCCACTGATACACTGATGCTGGAAGGGAGTACTGCCCCGGAGAGAGTTCTAGAAGTCTGAGTTTGACCCACACCACTCAAGGCCACTTGATCTCTGACTTCCTGTTTGGAAGTGTGAGGTTTCCATCCTCCACATATCCCTGTCTTTCTGTTCCACTAAGGGGTCCTCATCAGAAGCTGAGCTGATGTAAGTGCTGTGTCCTTGAACCTCAAACACCATGAACCTTTTACTTCCTAAGTAGCCTCATGGATTTTATGAGAGAAACAAAAACCAGACTAATATATTACTGCTGTGGAATAATCCATTGGTACAGTGTGAAGATTTGTTACTCAGATTGGTTTAATAAAGGGCTAAATGGCCAATAGCTAGTAGGGTAAAGGTTAGGTGGGACTTTCAGCACTACACAGAGGAAGCATGAGCTGAACATGCTGTGCTAAAAAGGCTGCCACCAAGTGGTAGAACATAGATAAGAAATAAGGGTTAGTTTAAGAGCTAGTTAGTAACAAGCCTAAACTATCAGCCAAGCATTTATAATTAATAATAAATTTCTGTGTGGTTATTTGGAGGCCAGTTGTTGGGACAGAGCTGACCAGCAGTCCTGAAGAAAACCTCCAACAACATATTACACCTACGGGAAATTTTAGTAAGCATGCACTTGGCTATCAACCCTACAACGTGCATGGTGAACGACGTAAGGACTGGTGAATTATTTTAAGTGTCTTCCCCTTGGGGGTATGTAGCAGGAAGGTAAAACACCTTTGGTGCTTGATACATGCAATGTGCAGCTGACACTGGGAACCAAGCCCCCTCCTGGACAATTTAAAGGCTTTCCAAGTCGAAGCACAGGTCAATGTCCCTCTCTGAGACCTTCCATCCCTAGATTCTCTTCTGACCAACACAGCTTACAGGAAGACTGCCAGCAGCTGCAGCCAAGGCTAGGCTGAGACTCCAGCACGAGGCCACCCTCCCTCCTTACAGCCTCCTCTTTCTTTTACACCCCATAAGCATGCATGGGATATCCCACAAAGTTGCAAACAGACTTCCCTTTGATCCCAGGGCCTCCTCTGACAAATGGAGTCTACTTGAAGTCATCGACATGTTAGTTATCAAGACTAGACATCTGGTGACTTTGGTAACTCACCAACTTCCATCGCAGTATTTTGATCCATTCATCGGCTTCAACTCCTGTCTTTGCACAGAGATAAAATGTCCTGAATGGAAACACTAAGCTGACGAAACAAAAGAATGTGTGATAGTCAGTTTGACTAGTTGTATATATCCTGGTTGAATAGTATGAGTGTCTTCCAGGGGAGAGAATTGAGGAGTCCTATAATTATCATCGTGACCTTGAAGAATCGGTGTATACAGAGCAGCTCCTGCCAGCAATGGCAGACAGGCCTAGGATGGTTTAAGTTTATATTATTATGGGAGAGATTTATTCTCCCAGGAGACTTCAAAGAAGAAGTATATGTCCAGGACACACCCACATCCTTTGGCTGTGGAATATACTCAGCTGAGCCGCACAGTGGTCCAGAACCTCTCTGTGGGTTAAAGGACAAGCCAGGCAGATAAGGGTTTCTTGAAAGGACTCAGTTGCACTGGCTGCTTTAAGGAGGGTAACACTTCCACCAGGAGATACAAAGACTAGGAAAAGGGGACCAAAATGCCTCAGTTTGCTATTACACCCATTTCTTTCCGTGAGTTAATCTCTGTTAAAAAGAAAACGAACCTTCCTTTCAGCACAGAAGATTATATGTATGTAGGTGTATGGTAAGTCTTCATTATGCTGCCTTTGATTATTTAGTCAAAGTTATTTAAGTGATAAAGTCAACCTGAACATGTCTTGGTCATTCTTTCTATCCTTACAATCAAGACACAAATGCTATTTTTTTTCTGTTTTTTTTTTTCATGTATCCTAGGCTGGCCTCAAACTTGCTGCATAGAGGAGGATGATCTTGAATTCCTGATCCTCCTGCCTTGAACTGAAATTCAGAATCCTGTCACCTTAAGGCCCAAGCAGCACATCTTGCAGCTATCAGGCCTGTAGATGGGTGGGTGGGTGAGTAGGTAGGGTGGAGAGGGAGGGATGCTGACATTGTACAAGCTCTACACAGTGATGAGTGTAAATTGGTTTCTGCACTTGTCATTGATGCTCCCTGGGGGAGACATTATGAGCTGCTCTATAAATTCACACAAATTTCCCCTTCTTCTTGGCAATCAGAAGCCCAAGCAATAAATTCTAATTATCTTAAGCCAGCTATGACTATGGCTATGATGACGTTATGGTCATTTATGTTGCAGCCAGTGAGTCATGCAGACGATTCACAAGGCAAGGTTTCCAGGGAAACACTGGCTTTCCTGATACACAGGGCCAGGCATGGCTGATGCGTTTTTCACATCTGTGAAAACACCAGAGCTGAAAGTAGCCACTTGGATCTGAAGGAGTCAGCTGGAGGGCAGGCAAGAGAAGGGTGGACTTCATGGGTAGGACCTGGTGACATCTGCCTCTCAAATTCTTGTGACTCAAGAAAAGCAAACTTTTGCTAGATCATATGGCAGGAATTAAAAAGATGTCTGTGGCTGCTTGGTACCACAAATCGCGCACTTTCCCAGATGTAATAATGAAATTAAGCTCTATGCATGCTATCTTTATTTTCAAGAGGTACATCTTTACAACTTTCAACCAGTTTAGGAAAAGAAGTGACAAAGAAAGCCCAGCAAGCCCGTAATACACTGAGGTTAGACAGAGAGTCGTTTACGTCTTCCAGGCTGGCTATGTCTGAGCATCTTTCAGACAGAAGCTGGTGGAGAAGAAGACATGCCTTCCTTTATCAAGACACTGTTTGTATCAGACACGTTTCATAGTATTCTGATTATATCAGGGCAAACACTTAATCCATCAGCCAGACACCACCCTAACAATACAGGCCACCTATCTCCAAAGCTGGTGAAATGATAATTACATTGAGAGGAGAATCTCAAGGGATTAAGGTTGTGTTAAGATGTGAATGGCTGCCATGTCCTAACAGTGCAGGACACAGCCTGACCCTGGCCAACCTGCCTTTGTGGAAGCCACTTTAGACAAGGCACTGTGTCCTCTGCAGCTGGAGGCACTAACATGAACGCCCTTGTGTGAGGTCCATGTCCTTCCCATCCAGACATGTGGACATTAAGATAGGTCGCTTTTTACTCCTGGCTTAAAAGACTTTTAGAAAAATTTCCTTTCTGGGTGTAACTTACCAGAAACAGTTTACTCTTTCCTGTGAGTAATCAAACTGCACGGCAGAGCACTCCGTCAGGTCCAGGATGCGAATTGGTTCTGGTGACTGGGAAAAACAAAACAAAACAAAACAAAACAAAAAACAATGTCATAAGAATAAACACACACACACACACATACACACACACACACACACACACACACACACACACACACACGTGTGTGTGTGTGTCCATCCCTCAACCCTCAAGGTTTCTGCTGCATGCAACTGTTGTCAATTTCCTTTCACTAAGATAATGGACGATGGGAAACCCTGACGGAGGGAGCACACACTGGGGTCTGGGATCTAGTCTTTCACAGACTGAGCAATGGGAAGACATTGCTGGGTCACCCAGATAGCCCGGTGGTCAAGACATGACTTGCTCTCACAGAGGATCTGTGTTCAATTCTCACCACCCTGCCAGGCAGCTCAAAACTGCCTTCAACTCCAGAACCAAAGGGCTCCATGTCTGGTACCAAGACTCATGTGCACACACCTAAAGGACACACACTCACACACACTCACACACATAAGATAATATATCTTTTCAAAAAGGCATTGCTTCTGTTGATTTACAGCAATCAGAGACAGATTTTTAACACATGGAAAGGAGCTGTATTTTCTTCCATCTTTTTTTCTTTCATAAACTTCTACTTTTGCAGAAAATTTGTATACAAAATAAGAAGGGGAATCATTTTCAGTTGGCATGATAAAATGGACCCGAGCAATGGGTAGATTTGTAATAAAAGGGAAAATTGGGACTGTTAACAGAGTATGGCAAGGGAAGAATTTCACAGCTTGGAACAGAGGGAGCCACGTGCTCCGGAGAGAGACAGCTGAGCTGACCAAGAGCAGCTTCTGGAGACAAATCACTTTTCACAGAGTCAGAGCAGATCCAGAACCAGAAGCCCAGACCTTGGACTGTACCAGATGGCTCTGTGGGTAAAGATGCTTGTGGTCAAATCAAACCCGATGACGCCTAGGAACCACATTTGGAAAAAGAGAAATAACCCCACAGCTTGTCCAAACAAACGCTGTAGCAAGTGCGCCCCACCCCCATTATAAACAAATACAAGCTGAAAAGAACTCGGGTCTCTAGACTCTTGTTTCAGAGGATGTGGGGAACCTTACAGAGCTCTGTCTAAGGCAGAGAGGGATGCTAATATCTTTCTCACCATCTGGTCTTTGAAATACTTCAGTTCATTCCTTTGCAAAGTGAACCATCTTGTTTTCCAGGTCTGAGGAGAAAGAATTTTAAGTTTGAGTAGAGAATATAATATCTAAACTTGATAGATTGTCTTCATTTTAAGTATATAAAAGATTGGATAAAGTAGGCCTAAAATATTCTTATGTATTACTTTTGAGAAAAGTTTCAAAGTATCAAGAAAATTAGACGATTCTGTGTTCTAAGATCATAATAGAAATACCACTAGCTTATTTAATTGAATAGATGCAGCTGTTGCAAACATTCAAGGTGATTTGTAACAAGCCACTTAAGTTTCTATTTTATTAACACTATAATAAAAAGATATCTCAGTTTTGAGAACCTAATGTGAGATATATCCCCACACCACAAATTTACATATATATTCATGTATACTCTTGAAATATAATGTGTATTTAGTTAAATGTATGATAACTAAGCAATGCCATCTCTCATTATTATTATTATTATCATCATTATTACTATTATTTCACAAATAAGCCAGTTGAGGTGTAGTAACCTTTAACAACATGATACTCTAAATCCTACCTGAAGAGCCATGGACTCACAGAAAAAACTGTTACTATTCCTTTGTACATCCTAACAAAGCCCTGACCTATCTTGGCTGGCAATGCACCCACTTAAAAGGGACAATAGAAGATTCAGGAATAAACACTCAGGCCAGGCATGGTTGTTCATGCTTATAATCCTAACACTGGGGGCGCTCAGAAGTAAGATTGTACATTCTAGATTGTACATCTGAGGTCATCCAGGGCTGTGAGTGAGACCCTATCTGAATACAAAACAAACATTAATAAAGAGGCTGCGAATGGGAATGTCTCCCATCCTTAGGGAGTACGCAGTCCATAGAGGACATGGATGACTGCATGATGAGGTTAGAGTTAGGCAGCTTGTTCACAGGAGAAGGAAGACGTAAGGACTCTGACCCCTAAAACAGACAAGCACCCACGCATCGCATGAGAGTGGAGCCAATTTATTGGATGATGGCGGTCACGGCACACGGAAATGTAACCGAACTTTAAAGGTGCAATTGCAGACAGGGAGCAGTCAGGCGCCCTGGACTTGTAAAGATCAAAACTATCTTTACTTTGGCATGTTATAACACTGAGTGAGTAGTGTGATCCCTTAGCTTGAATTCAGTGACTAATTCTCTCAGAATCCTTTACGAAACATTTTACCCTTAATCATTTCATGTCTCTATCACCTATAGCAACCCAAAATGATAATTTTGGGGGGGGGATTCGAGACAGCATTTCTCTGTGGCTTTGGAGGCTGTCCCAGAGCTAGCTCTTGTAGACCAGGTTGATCTCAAACTCACAGAGATCTGCCTACTTCTGCCTCCCGGAGTGCTGGCATTAAAGGCGTGCGCCACCACCCGACAATAGCATTATTTTTTGTTTGTTTGCTTTTTTTACGAGACAGGGTTTCTCTGTATTGTTTTGGAGGCTGTCGGTCCAGCCTAGCCTCGAACTCACAGAGATCCGCCGGCCTCTGCCTCCCGAGTGCTGGGATTAAAGGCATGCGCCACCACCCGACAATAGCATTATTTTTTGTTTGTTTGCTTTTTTACGAGACAGGGTTTCTCTGTATTGTTTTGGAGGCTGTCGGTCCAGCCTAGCCTCGAACTCACAGAGATCCGCCGGCCTCTGCCTCCCGAGTGCTGGGATTAAAGGCATGCGCCACCACCACCCGGCTAGCATTTTTTTAAAGCACCAGTAATGCATTTGGTCTTCCTTTCAGTAAACATTGCATAAAAGTTTGACTTTTATTGTAAAAAGAAAAAATAGAGCACAAATGTTCAAGAGTTCATTTACCTCCTTTGTTCATAACCCTCCCACTGAACTACACAGTGCTTCCTTTTTAATACGAACTACAGATTACTCTTATACAGGGCTCTGCCAGAGAACCGTCAAGACATTTTTCAGGGGAAATACAAATGGCTTAAAATAAGCTTACAATTTTCCTTTAGAAACATTTGCCAATTTTAAGAGTTGAGTCTATGGTGTGGTGTCTTTCCTGTGGTGGCATGAACAAACCACACTCCCTTACCTTTACCAGGCCGCCTTGCTTGGTGAGGTAGCCTTCTTTGGTGCCAAGCTGCAAAAGAAAAAGGCCAGAATGAAGCCCAGAACTGTCACAGACAGCCTTGTGTTCCTATTTTAACTTACAGTGCTAGGGGTGAACTCTTACTCCAGGCAAGCGCTTAACACCAAGCTACAGGCTGGCCCTCTGTCCTGTTCTATGAAGAACATGTTTGCCAATGATCTCTAACTGATCCTCTTTGATTCTTCACCTAGCTGGCGAAACTCTCCCAGGTGCTGTGGGAGCCCTTTGCAGGCTGGGTCACCTGGATCAACAGGTATTGCTGGGAAGGTCTCTATTAACTCGGGCTGATGATTTGAAAACAACTAACCACAGGTGGTGTTCGTTAGAACAGCAGCAGCTTGTATTGCCATAGGAATCCTAGCATAAAAGTATATGTAACGGATGTTGGACACTGATTGGCCTTCAGTCTCTGTAGCTATCAGTTCTTCTCTCTTGGGTTCACAAACCATGGATTGAAACATTTGTATAAACCGTTGAGTCTGTACTGAATATGTATAGATCCTTTTTTCTTATCCGCTAAACAAACAGTCTATTAACCATTTACCTGGCGTTTATATTACAATGGTGTGATAAGAAATCTGATTTGAGGTATACGGGAGGAAGTGGATAGTTTATGCAAATACTGTGCTGTTTTATATAAGGGTCTTGGATCTAAGGACACTGGCACCCAAGTGGGGGTCTTGGAAATACTGACATACAGAGAGACATTTGGGACAGCATATTAAGAAAAGTAAAAGAATTCATTTATTTTAGGACTTCTTAAAAAAAGTTTTAAGAGAGAACTAAGAAGCAGCATCACCAATATTTGCTTTATTACAGCCTCTCTTCTCCTACACACTCTCTCCACTCCAAAGCCATTCAGAAGTACAGATGTGTTTATACTCATGTATTTAAAATGGAATTTGAAATACAAACGAATCATTTGTTTTAATCTATGTTTCATTAGTTCAACTGTAACAGCGGCACTTAGCACCCATGAGTTACAGAATGGTAGGGAAATCTACATAGGCGCTGGGTCCTAAGACAAAGAGCTTCGTAGTCTGGTAACCTCCTGAACAAACTGAATGCCTGGGAGGTTATTCTGTTCTAGTATGCTCTCGTAATGTACCTTTCACTATAGAGAAGAGAACAGACGAGAACTGGGGAGGACTTTGTTGATGCCAAGGCCCTTTTTATGGGAGTTTCCCGAGTGTCCTCTCCTGTGGTGAATTCCTCCTACCCACAAGAGAGGAACCACCAAAGTCCCAAGAACCAGGGATGAGAAATAACCCAGAGCCGCTTCTGGAGTTCGGATGGCAGAGAAGTCAAGATGGACCCCCTAAGTGTGCATTTCAACAATGCTAGTCAATATTGCTGAGTTCGACGTCGTGTAATCACTGTGATTTATTTTGATGATAAAGGAACTAAACTGAGGGGCTGGAGTAATGACTCAGTGGTTAAAAGCACTTCCTCTTTCAGAGAACCTGGATTCAATTCCCAGTATCAACACAGTAATTCACAACCACCCATTATTCTAGTTCAAAGGGACCCAATGCCCTTTTTGTTCTCTGAGGACTCCGGGCATGCTTGTGCTACACATATACACATGCTGACAAAACACATACAGCGTACACTTAAATTGTTTTACAAAAAAATTGAAAATTAAAAGAAAAAATTAAACTGATTTAATTTCTAAAAATTATGATTTTAGGCCAGGTGGTGGTGGCACACGCCTTTAATCCCAGCACTCGGGAGGCAGAGGCAGGCAGATCTCTTGTGATTTCGAGGCCAACCTAGTCTACAAAGTGAGTTCCATGACAGCCTTCAAAGCCATATAGGAACCCTGTCTGGAACCCCCCCCAAAATGTGATTTTGGGTTGCTGTAGGTAATAGAGAGATGAAATGTTTAAGGGTGAAATGTTTTATAAAGGATCCCGAGATAATTAGTCACCGAATTCAAGCTAAGGGATCACACTACTCATTCAGCGTTACCCCTATCTAATATACTAACAGTCTAGCAATTTCTGTGGTTTTGACAGGTGAAATGCTGACGGTGGAGTTGCTGAGACTATGATTTGGTCCGTAGCCTCCAGATATAAGGACTGAAATAATCACACGGCAGACTTATCCTTAAACACAGCAGCAGGAAAGACGTTTGAAAGAGCTCCAGGTTAGGGACAACCTAAATGTTCAGCAATCAAGGATTAACCAAGCTGCCTCCCTCACTGTGTTCTGTAAACATCCAAAGTCCTCAGACGGAATGAGTGTGTGAACGTCCATGCCCCTTGTCACAGCGTGCTGTAGCCCAAGCAGAGAACAGGGAGAGTTCGTGTGGATGGATGCTATGCTGTGGGAGCAGCAGCTTGTGTAGGTGATGAAGTTGGCGGTGGTGAGGGCTTCTTTCCAAATGGGTGGAGGTGGCAACCAGTGTAGTTTCACAGAGGCATCAGTAAAGCAGACATCTGCAGGGAGAGGAGGGTGCAGTGGCCTGGAACGGATCATTGAGTGAGCAGGAAGTTTGCGTAGGGTGGTGGGCAGGAGAAGGAGTAGATGGAGATTCCTTACACTCTATTGATCAGCAAATCCAGATAATGGGATCCATATATCTCCTGTGGGAGGATGGTGTCACAACTATCAAAAGGGAAAGACCTAGAATGAACCTTGTGGTTTTGGTAAGGATTCAGTCAGTGCTGTGTATCCATGGAGGGAAGAATGGATGGATAGATGAACGGATAGACACAGATGTAAATGCATAGGTATACATGCAGACACATGTATCTTTTCCTTATCCCCCAGCAGGTAGGAAAGTGACATTTCAATAAAAACAGGTATAAGTGGCTCAGATATAGATTGTAAAGTACCACTTTAAAAAGACAAAGGCAATTAAAAAATAGTTGATTCTAGATATGAGCACAAGGATAGCATGTGCTAAGTCTGGGGTATCTTGCTATATCAGAAAGTAAAGCTACCAAAACATCAGGAGGCCATAGACACAGAAGCCACCTTGAAAGGGCTCTTACCAAATAAATTGTGATAGTCAGGATCTTAATCCACTGATACTCAAAACACTAGATAATGTGAGAAATGAAGAGCTTTTCCTTACAGCATCCTGGCAGTTAGTAAGCATAAAAGAAGCAAGAACATCCAAGGCTCACCACTCTCAATAACCAGAGCTGTAGTGAAGAAAGCTAATAAACACTGACTGATGAGCCAAATTTTAGCAAGGAAAAGAGTATGCATATTTGTTCAGTCCCCAGTAGCTTCCCTGAAATCTTTATTAATAACAAAAGCAATAAAGTTACTTTTAAGTAAAGAAAGCTAGTGATACCTCTCAAATGATCAAACCCATCCTCTTGGGAGAAACTGTAAACCTGGTGGGTTTGAGGAGCAATGAAGTGCACAAAAGTCCCTCTTGATGTCTCTATCAAATGACACACTCCAACCTAGTCATGACTCAACAAGAGACAAGACAACATAAGGAAGTTCATGAGAGGATTGGCCTTTAGTTTTCATAAATGAGAGAGGGGGAGACTTAATAAAAAATAGGAGTTCGGATAGGAAGGACTCTCAAGAGACAGGAAGGATGCTCAAGAGACAGGAAGGACTCTCAAGAGACAGGAAGGACTCTCAAGAGACAGGAAGAATGCTCAAGAGACAGGAAGGACTCTCAAGAGACAGGAAGGATGCTTACGAGATAGGAGGGATGCTCAAGAGACAGGAAAGACTCTCAAGAGACAGGAAGGACTCTCAAGAGACAGGAAAGACTCTCAAGAGACAGGAAGGACTCTCAAGAGACAGGAAGGACTCTCAAGAGACAGGAGGGATGCTCAAGAGACAGGAGGGATGCTCAAGAGACAGGAAGGACTCTCAAGAGACAGGGAGGACTCTCAAGAGACAGGAGGGATGCACAAGAGACAGGAAGGACTCTCAAGAGACAGGAAGGACTCTCAAGAGACAGGAAGGATGCTCAAGAGACAGGAAGGACACTCAGGAGACAGGAAAGACTCTCAAGAGACAGGAGGGATGCACAAGAGACAGGAAGGATACTCAGGAGACAGGAAAGACTCTCAAGAGACAGGAAGGACTCTCAAGAGACAGGAGGGATTCACAAGAGACAGGAGGGATGCTCAAGAGACAGGAAAGACTCTCAAGAGACAGGGAGGACTCTCAAGAGACAGGAGGGATGCACAAGAGACAGGAAGGACTCTCAAGAGACAGGGAGGACTCTCAAGAGACAGGAGGGATGCTCAAGAGACAGGAAAGACTCTCAAGAGACAGGAAGGATACTCAAGAGACAGGAAAAACTCTCTAGAAACAGGGAGGACTCCCGAGAGACAGGGAAGATGCTCAAGAGGCAGGACACATAAAACTGAGGACACGATCTTCGGGCTCTAAAGGGCTGTCTTGGGGAAACAGAGATCTGTGGATATAGTGGTAGCATAGCAACATCCTAATTTGGATGTTTGTGTGTGGCCATGTAAGCAAGTGTCTTTGCTTGTAGGAAATACATACTGCAATATTTAAAATGATCAGGCATCCTATAAGCAATTTATTCTTAAATGACTAAGGAAAAGCAAAGCCTTTTGGATTATTCTTTCAGTTACTCTATAAATTTGAAATTATTTAAATGCCATTAAAAAACAGAATGGCTGTTCTAAGTAAACTGACATACTTAATAATAAAATATTAAGGAATTTATTTAATTGTGTTTACGAAACAATATAATGCATGGAAGATATTCACAGGGTATAGTTAAATATGAATATTGTAACTCTGTAATGAAGAGTCTAAACACACATACACACACAGAAACGGGGGATACACATGGGCATGAAGATAGACATACTGGAAGCATACAAGGGAGGCACCCAAGAAGAACTATCACATGTCATCAACCATATAACAGAGTAAGTAACATTGGAGGTTGTCCTGTCCTCCCCTTAGCCCGATTGGTATTAGAATAGTAGGCTGATTACTCTCTAAGATCTGCACTGGAATGGAAATCAGTGAGAGTGGGTCTTTGTCTAGTTTACTGCAAAACTCAAGGCACTTAAAGCTAGGTTTATGGAGGACACTTAAAACAGATTAACAAATGAATTAATTAAATTTAATCTTACCCCAGAAACCCAAAGCTTTGCTGTTTACAATGCATAAATAATAATTTTCTTAGATGCAGTTGACAAAGGATGTTAAGTAATTTTATGGAAGCACCTGCATTTGGGGGAAATGGGGACACTTTCATTTTTACTTCAAGCAAGTTCTTCTTGTGTAAGTGTGATGTAATGCTCTTCCTCCACAGACAGGGCTTGGGCAGGAACTGAATTCTCAAAAAAGAAAACAGAAGTGTGGACACCTCAGACCTTGCAATTGGGCGACAGAGGTGCCACATCAGAGGGCTGTTTAGGACAGTAAGTAATCGAAGAGCCCTTGTTCTCAGCAGGGGACAAGGATTCCAATATAACCAGAATTCTTCCCTCAACCATGTCAGTCCAGGTTTCCAAAGGAAAATGATAAGATATGTTTCAGGATCTATTAAAAAGGTCTTCATTGTTTTGGTCAGTACCATTACATAATAAATTTCATGGACCTCTCATTATATAATGTGCATTCCTTGTTGACCAAGCACTAAACACTGTTTAAAAATTCCCTCCTGTGTTACAGTGCTGACATATTTGGGTGGGTGAACTATCTGACACATGGAGGAAGCAAACAGGGAGTAATATGACTTCCTTAATTTGCTCTAAAGATCCCTAATCTTCCCTGCTAAGGTCAAAGCTACAAATTACACATTGGCTGATTCCTACTACTGATGAAAGATACTTGTAGGAGATGAGCGTTTCACTGACCAGGAATCTTAAGAAGTCTAGTAAAGGTGGGACATGGGTTCCCACCCCTCACCAAGAAACTACCTGCATCTGATACCTGCTGGCAAAGGGAAAAACATTTTCTTCGATGGCATCTCACTGGGTGTGCTGACCAGGTTCCCACATTTCAGGGTAGACCTAATGCCTGGGAGCAGTTGGCCAACACAAAGCGAACTCACTGGGATTTTTGTAGACTGTTGTTTCACTTTGCTTTTAGGGGGCATTTTTTTTGTCTTATTGGTATTTTGCGTGTATATTTTGAGTTTTGTTTTTGTGCTACATTTCTTGGTCTTTGTTTTTTAAAGAGGGAGAAAAAGGGTTAGGTGGGTAGGGAGATGGGGAGAATGGGGGAGGAGTTGTGGGAGAGGAGAGTGTGATCAGAATGTATTGTATAAACTTTTTCTCAGTAACAAAGGTCTAACAGAGGAGAATGTGGAGTTAAGCAGACAGCTGATACGAGAGGTGGTTTTGTGGTGGGTTAGAGAGCTAAGAATGGAGAAAGAGGAAAGCGAAGGGAACTGACTGGATAGAAAATAAGAGCTGAGCACAAGGTAGGTGTGGTCTGGTCTCTGGTCCCCTCTGACTCTGGACTACATGTCACTCCAGTTTAAACATCTGATGCTTCCTTTCGCTAACTCTTTAACAAAGCCCTCCCCCACCCCCCATCCCTGGCACACACAAAAAAATGTCTAACCAATATTTGAGGGATTGTAGGAAAATGGTAAAAATAAGGCATACCATTAACTATCCAGGTTACAAAACACACAGGCAATGGCCCCTGTGTATATGCTGCATGTGTGTGCGCTACGGCATGTAGATGGAGGTCAAAGGGCAAGCTTGAGTGTCTTCACCTTCCACCTGAGAGACATACACCAGGGTAGACTTGAAGCTTCCAGAGCTCTCTGCCTCCACCTGCCATGTTCTCACGGGGGATAAGGCCATGTGCGTTACTGAGTCTTGCTTTTACGTGGCCCGTGGAGATCTTAACCCAGGTCCTCGGTTTGTGTGGCTAGTGCTTGACCCCCTGAGTCATACCCAAGCATTCTTCCCCTTTTATTGGCACAGCATCTTGCTACACAGCCCTGGCTAGCCTCAAATTTAACCTCCCCGCTGTTGGAATTACCAGATCACACCATCACGCCCAGCCAGCGTAGTTGGCGTCAGAATGGAAAAAGAAATATCACTTTGGAGATCGGAAGGCCTCGTCTGTTTTGATGTGGCTGGAGGATGAGTGGCTACAAGTGACTGTTTCTCAGGAGCGGAACTGACTCTTGGTGTTTGACTTGGGCATTGCCATTTTTATCATCTGCCAAAATGGAGATTTCTCCTACTTGAAGTACTCAGCCTGCTAGGCAGAGACAGTAAGAAGAGCTGTGGCACTGGGGAACGGAGCGTATAGGAGGAACCTACAGCTGTGGCTCAACAAGAAGCGATTCTGTAACACTCATACAAGAGGGGGCTCGTGTTGCAAAGAAGTCTGAATACTTTCTCTCTGCAGGTGCCAGTCAGTGATGCTTGAAAATTGGGAAAATAGCACCCCAAAGTTTTGTTTTCTTTTTTGGTATTTCAAGACAGGGTTTCTCTATGTAGTCCCTGCCTTCCTGGAACTCACTCTGAAGACCAGACTGACCTTGAACTCAGAATCTGCCTACCTCTGCCTCCCGAGTGCTGGGTTTAAAGGCATGCACCACTATGCCCAGTTCCACTCCAAGTTTTGTGGTGAAGCTGGAGAAGGCTTTTTTCTTTTTTCAAGGATGGTTGAAATGCAAAGGAAATTGTTTTTCTAAGTCTTAAGCAGCTTGTCAAAGAAAGACTGCTTAGTCTACTCAGTGAGCAATTTTCTCATCTACTCCACCATGAACCTAGTTGGCTATTTAAAGAGAGACATTCCAGTGACATTTTCCAAGTTTTTAAATCCTATCACTAAGGCATGCCCCTGCACCCCGTGTATGTGTGTGTGTGTGTGTGTGTGTGCACGTGCGCGCGTGTGCATGCTCACAAGCGCTCCTGATGATGGAGTCCAGGACCTCACAGCACCAGGCAAGCACTGAAACACTGAGCTACCCTCAGCTAAAGAGTTTGTGGGTTGTTTTTTTACTTGTTTTGTTTTGTCTTTAATTTTCCTTGGACCAGATGAACTAAATTATAGCCTTCAAATACTATATTACTTTCCAAGTTTTATACTCCCTCTAGAATACATTGTTGTGTTGTTTGTTTGCTGGCTTTTCAAGACAGGACAGGATGCAACAAGACAGCTTTGGCTGACAAGGAACCCTGTATTTAGCCCGGGGTTGAACTCAAAGCAACTCTCAAGTTCAGAGTTTCAAGAGTTGGGATTACAAGCATTTGCCACTCAGTTGGCTTCAAGATGGAAGGTTCATATGAGTGCATGAACTTTAGTTCTTTCCACATTTGATGACATTCCGTGGAAAGCATGGTGGGCACTTACAGAAGGTGCAGTGGGCACGAGGTCATTTTCTGTTCTTCCTGTCTGCATTGCTGTGTGGACCCGGACTGATTCATAAATGGAAGGTTCTTCTACTTGTCTTGGATAGGGATGTTTCAAAACAATCAGAGTCCCTGAATGAAAACAGAAATACACATATATACATATAATTCAGTATGACTGGCTAGATTGTAAAGTCTATTTATCGATTGACTGATGGATTGATTGTGGTGTGTGTGTGTGTGTTATATGTGGAGTGTAGAGGACAGCTTTTGGAGTCGGTTTTCTTCTTCCACCGTGGGGTAAAATTCAGGTTACCAAGCTTGTGAAGCAAGTGCTCTTCCCAGCTGAGCCGTCTGACTCCCCCCATTGTTATACACATGTGCTTACTCATCTTCTTAGCATTTGGAGAGCACCAACTTCACACAAGGCACACAGCTTGGATGCAGAGATATAGACATGATTTAGATGAGTAATCAATAAAGTCATTTAAATGAACAGGGTGATGAGATCCGTAGGGTAATGTGGACAAATTAGAGTATTCAGAAAGGCTTTCGCAACAAGTTTGGCAATTGACCTAGACTTAAGCAATAACCAGAAAATTTGCAAGTGGGCTGTAACAGAGCCACGAAGACAAACCAGAAAGCACAGGGCTCAGGGAGGGTCTATGCCGCTGCCCTTACTGCATAGCAGCACTGAAACAGATATAACAAATCAGTGGGCCTCAAAACTGTGGCCTCCCAACCCTCTCCATTACCTCCAAGCACCCCAAAGAAGCCTAGGACTTGGGTGAGTATGGCCTGAGCAGACCAGACGGAAGCTTGTCTGTAACTGTTTCCACTTCCCATCTAGAAGAGGGGGCCAGGCAGAGAGGGAATCAGCCCAGACAAGTAGGCCCTGGGAACATCATTCGGAGACTCAAAGAACTTCTGACTCAGCATCCTGACATTTCCCATTCCGTGAACTTCCCTTACAGATCAGTCAATCAGAAACTAGAAACTTTGACTACAAAGAAAGCCGAAGTCTTTTTCCTTTTCTCTATTGCAATGGCTTCTTGCTAATTTTCTGGGATGGGGTTGCTAAAGATCACACCCAGGGTCTTGGATGAGCTAGGCAAGAGCTCTACCACTGAGCTCTACCCCCAGCCTCCTCCTTGCTTTTTATTTTAAGAGGTCTTTCCTTCCTTCCTTCCTTCCTTCCTTCCTTCCTCCCTTCCTTCCTTCCTTTCTTTCCTTTTTTTGTATTTTGATACAGGGTTCCTCTGTATTGCTTTGGAGCCTGTCCTGGAACTCACAGATCCTCCTGCCTCTGCCTCCCGAGGGCTGGGATTAAAGGCGTGCACCACCACGGCTGGAGAAGTCTTCTCTATAGCAGCTCTATTCAGGAAATAAGTAATTCAATCATTAGGTCGTTTGCTCTACTCTGTGTCAAATGCTTGTGTTGGCCATGGGGCTGCCACAGCAGACATGGGGTATCTGCTTTTACTATTACAGTCAAGATCCAGGGACCAGAGAGAAACACAAGGTCAATGCATTTCTGGTGTAAGATGCATTATGAGGAAATGAATAAAGAAGGGCAGAAGATAGACGCTGGGGAGGAGTGACAGTGTCCATAGAAGGCCATCTTTGAAAAGAAGAATCGAAGATACTATAGAAAGGATTGACACAAATTGGGGGCAAAAGAGGAACAAATAATGATAGAAAATACCTCCTTGGTGGTGCAAAAGCCTAGAATATCAATGATAACTGTACCCTCCAAAACACTGTACGGCGCTTATATGATTTACACATGACTTATACAGTGCTTATACATGACTGGCTGTCAAGTCAGATACCCTGGCTGCCAGAAACGTGGTAGGGGAGGGGAGTGGGGAGAGGAGTGGGGGTAGGGAGTGGGTAGCAAAGACAAAAGAGGGGGTCTCTGATGCAGCCTTAGAGAAGAACAGGGCCGGGCCCTCCTGTGTATCCATTCCCATCAGCCGCACCGGGCTCATGACAAACGGTTTGGCAGTCATCAGGGGACACAGTCCCGCTCTTGCACACTGCTGGCGCTTTTTGTTTTCTTCTTTTTCAATCACCGTGACCCTTTCTGAGAATCCATCAGTCATATGTGGGGCAGCAGTCTGAGTGAAAGCATGACATCTAAGTCAAGAGCAGCCTGTGAGCAGGCTCAGGGGCTATGTGAACACTGCCCAGTCTGTAGACACTGGGTGGGCTGGAGGGGGAGGGCCACGCGAACGCTGCTCAGTCTGTAGATGCTGGGTGAGCTCAGGGCTGGTGTCCTACCACCAAGAAACACCCCCACCAATAGTCCAGGCAGCCTCTCGGGCACTGTGGAAAGATCCCTGGTCCCATAGTCGATGCCAGGCCTCACTGGCCCTCCCCTGTGCCGCTGTCCGGTTGTGCCGCTGTACCTGCCGGCCTGAAGCTGCACTTATCTGCTTTCGTTCTTCCTCTAACTAGTGCAAACAGCCAAACTTCCTTCACAGGGCTGAGCTGTGCACTAGATAAAGGGTGTTTGCAGAAAGATTATAAAACAGATAATATTCTTTGATAAAGAACATTTAAAAGTCCTTAAATGGAACTCTAATGGCTAAATTTTTGAGAACTTTTTTAAAGGCTTTATTTGTGTGTGTCAGTATTTGTCTGCGTGTGCATGCTGGTGTCTGCAGAGGTCAGAGTGTGTCAGATCTCCTGGAGTTGGAGTTACAGGCACCTCAGCTCCCTGATTTGGGTGCTTGGAATCAAACTCTGGCCCTTGGCAAGGAGAGCAAGCGCTTTGAACTGCTGGGCCCTCTCTCTCTAGTCCCACACTGTAAGTCCTCTTACATTACTCACTCACCCCTCCCCTCTCCCCCATCTTTCTCTCCCCCTCCATGTGCGTGCAAGCTCTAGAGTGAGTGAGTGCATGTATGCGCGCGCGCGCGTGTGTGTGTGTGTGTGTGTGTGTGTACACTAATTGGATTCATTTCACTTGGCTCCTCTTCTGGAAGAAGAAGGCTCAGCAACTTCAGTATATCTGACTGCTGTTTCCTGCTTCACAAACATGGCTGGAAGTCCATTTTTGAGAAGAGCAGAGCTAGGCCCCTGCAGACATGACCATCACTGACAGCCCTGACTGGCTGTGACTGCTGAGCTGTGTCCCTTTGCTCTCCTGTTCAGCTGTCCTGGCCTTCTGGGTGAATGTACCAAAACACCCCCCCTACCCCCCCACCCCCGTACGCCAGTGTTTTCAAATTTAGCCAGCTACAGATGCACAACTCATGACTTCCATCCAAAGCTCAAGCTTTAGGTTGGTGAATTTAGACAAAGGAAGCACAGAACTTGGTTAGGAGAGTCAGATTAAAAAGCAATGGGGAGGAGGGTGGGTGTGGAGAGGTGGGGGGATGGGCATGGCAGAGAACACAGAGGGAAGCAGATCAGAAACTGCCTGCCCTGGCTACTTGGTTCCAAGTTTCACTTCAGTTTCTGAACTTCATGAAGGTTGTTTCCTGCCGCAGACATGAAGCGTGGCTTCAGGCATGTTCAGCAGAGGTACAGTTCTCAGATGATCAGAGTTGGACCAACATAGGCATTCTACATTGATGGACTGACAGACAGCATGTGTGACATCTATAGCTCCATACCCAACACCAGGATTGTGCTAAGGGACTCCTCTAGCTGAAACTCTAGATGTACTGTAGACAAAACTCAGAAAAAGACAGGAATGGCCTCAGGCCTCGGGTGTTGATTTGAAAACAGAATGTAGAAACTTTTATTTCCATATTTATTTTATGCACTAAAGTTAGCTTGTTAGACCTCCCAGCTGGACCATAAAGTGTTTGAGATCAAGAATGGTTTTTGAGGGACCTGGAGCAATGACTCAGTGGTTAAGAGCACTTGTTGCTCTTGCAGAGGACCTGGGTTCAGTTCCCAGAACATACATGGCGCCTCATAATCATCTGTAACTCTAGTTCCAAAGGATCTGATCTCTGTGAACATTAGGCACACTTGTGGTATAGGCGCACATGAAGGCAAAAATCTCATACATAGAAAATAAATGATACTTAACTCACCTCTCTATTTTATCAGTGGCTAACAGTGTCCATCTGGTGACTGACACTCAATCCATGCTTACTAAATTAAATATGAGATATTAGTCACCCATGTTTTGTTTCTACTGCTCTGGGTTTCAGAAAATAGCTTTGCAATGTGTTCTTCTGTCCCTGCCAGTAAGGTGCGGCCTTTTAGGGGTGGGGTCTTAAATGAATAGTCCAGTTCTTCTTCTTGTCTGCCTCGGTGTTTGCTTGACATACTGTAGCCAACATTCATTTACAACCATAGCAGCTTTACTGTCCCATGGTTAGCCTCCCAGGGAGAAACACACTAAGAAAAGGGAAGTAGACTAGTCAGCTAGACAAGAAGATTCCATTCAAATGTCTAAGCCAAGTCAGGTCACTTATTCTGGAGTGCTCCCTTGAATCTACCACACATATGAGTACACCAGGACTTAAGACTGAGGAGACATTACAAACATTTGACGGCCACATCTGCCATTAATTGTTTCATGCTATATCAAAGAGCTCACAGATCCTGCCTTGAGTCTGACAGAATTTAATGACCACCAAGGCATTTAGTAAAGGAGTCATAATGGTGAACGTTTGTAATGTGAAAATTAAAAGATCTAGAGACTGATATCGGGGGTTCAAGCTTCAAGCTGAAGATCAGAGAAGCAAGGCAACCAAGCCAGTAGCTCTTACCTCTACCTCAGGCTGAAAGGGCTGATCCTGTCTCCATGAGCTCTCACCAAGCCTCAGACTACTGCCTATCCTCAAGGTGGCTGGAGAATGAATGCCTTCCTATCCTCAATGTGGCTGGAGAAAGAATGCCAACCCTGAGACCCTGTTCCTGTCATAAATACCTCTCATGAGGATTAAAGGTGTGTGATCTTTGTGTAAGATGTTTCTCTTCAGGACTGAATCAATTTTGTGTGGTCAGTGTGGCCTTGAACTAACAAGAGATTCATCTACCTCTTAATCCTGAGTTCTGGGATTAAAGGTGTGTACCATCACTGCCCAGCTTCTATAGCTAACTAGTATGGTTGCTTTGCTATTTTGATCTCCAGTGGCTTTAATAAATCATAAAACATATATACC